TTTATTACAGAAGTTATTATAAGAAATAATTTTAATTCTACGAGTAATGTTGCAACTTTAAAGCAAAATTATCTGTCTCTTCATTTAAAATATACCTTAAAAGCAATTGCTAAATGCACTGCACGCAGGCATTTTATAAAACTATTAATATGCAGTATCACTTGATTAGTTACAAAAGTTTACCCTCTCTGAGCATTCATTGAACAATAACAGTTGTTTTAACCATTTAATAAGTTCACAATAGTTTTATACAGAGGCTAAAAGCTATGCTTTTCTAGATCAGCCGTTATCAAGTCGGATATAACTTTCGAGGCAACGCGGCACAATGATATTATAATATAAACATTTCCTTGCTGATATTAATCGATGGCTGTGCATACAGCGGTAAATCTTTTTACTTTATCTTTTACATTAACAAATCTAATTATAACTAATATTTTTTGTATTATTATTATTAATTATCTATTAATTACTTTAGATGTCATGTGGAACATGGTGTAATGGTTGCACCTCCTTACAAACAGTGTGTAAAACAAAAAACTTGGCGATAAAAAAGAGTGGCGGAGAGTTTATTGCCCGTTCTTCTCGTCCATTCTACGCCCTTGATATGAGAACTGGCAGTAAATGTAAAATTAGAGACATTAAGCATTTAATATGTATTTCTATATTGACATTCATAAGTGTAGATTGTGTTACCTAAATAAATAAATGATTTTGACTTTTAAACGTACGATTTGTCCAGAATTACTTTTCGTTTCCTCTATATATTGTATTTTTTTTTAATTTAACTTACTGTTGAAAATTAATTAAAACATGTAGGAACTGGTTTTAATATTTACTACCTAAAGTTCACTTAAATTTCTCGTTCGCAGTCTCTACTACCAGTATATGCAATTACGAATATCCTCCCGACTACACTGTACTAATGGCTGTTGAGAGAGAATATTTGAGAAGTTTTCCCTGTTTGATCATTTCGCAAAGTAATGGAACTAATTTGGTTCATAACTGTATTTTAACTTATATTAAATCCTTGTAGGACTTTCGAGGCACTAGGAAACTTTCATTTTCGTTTTTTGGTACGTGAAGCGGATTATATAAAATTACTAGCCGATCCGGCAAACGTCGTTTTGCCATGTATATTATTTATAATAATAAATAGGGGTTGATAGTAGAGGGGTGAAAATTAGGGGTGGTATGTATTTTTTAATGCTGTATCATAAAAACATAAAAAATCAATTATCTAAAAATTACAAAATAATAATTTAGGGGTGGACTAGCCTTAACACTTAGGGGGATGAAAAATAGATGTTGTCCGATTCTCAGACATACCCAATATGCACACAAATTTCATGAGAATCGGTCCAGCCGTTTCGGAGGAGTTTAACTACAAACACCGCGACACGAGAATTTTATATATTAGATATAGAGATGTCTTGAAAAAAAGACATATATGTGGTTCACCCATATCACCCCTGTAGGCCGCAGGTGGGGTATAGGTCAAACAGAAACTGCGTTGTTAATAAAAAAAATTATAAGGCTTTTTAACGAAATAGCAAATAGGTTAGTCGATCACAGGAGACCGAAGAGCTGGCAGCTACCTCGGGCAAAGAATTAGTCTAGCTATTCTAAGGGGGAAGGCTGCCAGTATCTTCGGAGCCATGCCTAAAGGGACTCCTTTCAATAATATGTTTTAGTTATTATATTATATTTTTAAGGTTATTAAGTATTACTTTTATATTCTGTATTTGAATTAATTGTATAATTTTCTACCTCACTCAAGTAAGCGCTTCATCCTACCGTGACCACTATCTCGACAAAGTTATTATTTACTGGTAATCGAATTCGACCTGAATTATACGCACCCTTTAGCCTAAAGTCATTACCAACAAGGGCGCGGAGGCTTCATAGAAAAAAATTGATTTATTAAGAATGTGTTCCACTAACATAAAGAATTGAAATAATACGTTTTTATAATTAAGGAAAAAATTAAATGTATTTTAATATGTTTAATGTGTGAGGTAGTGTTCTAGAGATGGATTAAATTTAAGCAGTCAACTGAAAGCCTTTTTGTTCTGACGTTGGATGAAATATTGAAATTACATATTTTCAGTCTGAATATTTACACGTTGGTAATAAATTGTTGAGTTCACGTTTCCACGCGTTAATCTCATCGGTGTAGAATTATCATAATATTTTCAACATATTAATATATCGTACGAAGCGGCTGAAAAAACTAAAGCATACAAATACAGGGGTCTAGGCTCAGAATATGATTTTGTCCCATTCGGTGTCGAGACCCTTGGTCCGTGGGGTCCTAGCGCTTTAAGGCTTTTTAAAGAAATTTCAAAAAGGTTAGTCGACATCACAGGAGACCGAATATCTGGCAGCTACCTCGGACAAAGAATTAGTCGAGCAATTCACAGGGGGAACGCTGCCAGTATCTTCGGAACCTTGCCTAAAGGGACTCCTTTTAATAATATATTTTAGTTTATGTTAAGGTTAGTTATTTATTTCAATGTATATTATTTTATTATTATGTTTTTATCTAATGTATATATGAAAAATAAGGTGAATATCGTACCGAGTTATACAATGAGTTTCCACTTTAATTAAAAAATAAAGAGCATTTCACAATGGATCATAATTTAGTGAGAGTTATGATTGCGTAGCGGTTTTCCTAAGCTAAGCGAAGGATTTAACTAATTTTAACTTAAGAGCAAATAAATGGAATTCATTATTTATTACCAAATATGCCAAACCACCTCAAAACAGTATTTGCAATTTCCTCTCGGCCGAGTCATCACAATTTTCACAATACAGAATTGTTTGAAAAATTCGAACGAATCTCTTGATTGTTCTGCCAACTTTTATTTGTTCGCTTTTTGTTTTCGATGTGGATGTTAAATTTTTTGTCACTTATTTATTAATTTAAATAGTTGTAAGTATTTTGTTTCCTCATGCTGTCTGTGTCTATTATCAACGCTACATTATAGTTTACAGTTACTGTTGATTTTTTCCTAAGTGCGGCCTGAATAAATATAATTATATGAAGTATAAAAATGTAATAACTATCTTAGTGATCAATGTTGCTATGCCACAATCACCAATGATCTTTTTACTGCCTATTATCTGTAATAAGTATTTAACTAAAGCTTCATTCCTTCATGTACGCATATTAAATAGTATTTTTTTAGTATTGTCTTTGATTAACATAACTTTTATTCATTTAATAAAACACTATTTTGACCGGATTGAAGTTATGTATTATTATAAATTTAAACTTAATTTTAAATTTATCCGACTTTCGTTTTACAGCGTGCGTGGTCACGGTGACTATATTATATAAAATTATTTAAATATTTATTTATAATAATACATAACTTCAATCCGGTCAAAATAGTGTTTTATAATATTTTTTTAACTATTTATTAAATTCTCTAATAATATTTAAATACATAAACTTTGCACATTTTATAAGAAACAATTGTTATTGTACATAGGTAATGTACAATAACCTACTAACAACTTTTACCATATTATAGAATGTTACAAAAATATACTAACAAAGCTTTCATTTAAAAGTTTTAATTAGGTATGGCGTTGGCACGAGAAAAATATTTGTTAAATGTTCTATAAAGACTCGGCAGCACCACAAAGCTTAAGGTCGCCAACGCATAAATCCAATTAACTGAGCGTTTAGGACTTGAAAATAATATTTAAGAAATATATCTTTTGTTGAAAAGTTTTCTCTTTAAATTTGACACTATATATGTTAGATTTTTTTTATTCTACTCATAGGTTTAGTGGATACATGATCGTATTATATTGGTATAACGTTATATACCACTCGTTACTTCATCACAAAAGTTGAGCTTAAAATAGCTCCAAATAATGAAGGCCTCTTAGGGCGCTGAATCTTACGCTTATGTGAATAACATTTCTCCAGATTTTGTAATCCTAAGATTGATCGTGATTAATTGCTTTCCATCCAACATCGCAATGAATATATATTTTAAACATAATGTCATTTACTGCTATATTTACCATCTATAATTACATATAAGAATTAAACTCAACTCAGAGCTATTTATATACTTATGATTATTATTTACTAGATAGTAATTGTATGTGTTTTTAATGTTTATCTTTAACATCGATAGGTAATGGTCTGAACTTATTTTCATTAAAATAAGAGAAATGTGTTTTTGCCTTTAAACTTTCTGTTTAAATGCTTCAATCTGCAATTAGCTCTCAAAATTGCTTCAATCTCGGGATTGCCTGCAAAAGAAATGCATGGAAATTCGAAACTAAGCTGAGTTCGAAATGGTTTAAAGTTTTGTCATAAATACGACCTACTTGTGTTGTGTAAGTAATAGTGGCCTGCTAAAGCCTCACCACCCCTGGGGGGAAAACTTTACAACTCCCAACTAGTTTTAACTCCATCTCGAATCGATCAAGATGGTCATGCTTCTCAGCTTCAATTTATCAACTAGAAAATCTTTCCAAAGATTGATTTTATCTATTGAGGGGTTGGACATAGAAAATGAAGAAGTATCGTCATTTATATGATACTTTATATGATACTTTGTGTACGAAAAAAATTATTTTAAAAATTTGAAAAATGACTGGTGACCGTGTTATAGTTACTCATATCCCTTTACCGCTATAACTTTTCCCATTGGATAATCTGAAACGCTGAAAAAATGTTACGTTTACATAACGTATTTTTATAAGATTGTGTTAACTAATGTATGATATTCTTTTATATATTGTAAAAAGTTAAGTATAACTTATAATATTTAACTACAAAACCTTCCGTGCGTATATAAGGCGTACATGGCATTCGATGCCGGGCGAAACAATATATTCCACTTTTAACTTTCATTGTTTCACTTCTTTAATTAGTAACGAAACAGACACTGAAATCTGCCCCGCCTAGTAGAGGGCTAACATACATTGATAATACTGGTAAACTAATACAACTTGTGTAATTGTTTCAGGAGAAACCGATGACCTGGCAAAAGAAAAAGATAAATGTTGCGACACGAATCTGTACCTTTACCAGGTAAGTAAAATTAAAATAAATCCTTACAAACAAAAAACTGTACCTACACAAGTTTAGCGGCTATTTTGCTTTAATAATACAACGAATTCGTTGTTGATGTTTTCGTTATCTTTCTTTAAAGACAAATAGATCAACCTTATTCTTTCATTGGCAATCTAACCCGGGACTACATTTTAATTGCTATATATACGTTAACTACGTATGAGAACGCGATATTTATGAAACAACGATTAATTTGTTAAAACAGTGTATAAATTTAAACTGCGATGAAACTGTTAAATTTAATGTAATTATTCAAAAAGTCTATACTTTCGAATGTAGATTTAAAAATGTTCACGTTATCATCAAGTTGAATCTGATGGCATCCAAATAACGTTTGCGACAGCCAATTTGAGGGGATTACGTACTAGACGAAATCGAAATAAATCGAGCGCTTTATTGAAAATCCATTTAGGATTACGTGCCTGCTACGTTCCATAGCTCTCATAGCACTCGTAGCTGAAGTAGCTGCTACTGACGCGCGACGTAGCTCTTCAATTTTACAAAGATGTCAAAATGATATATTGCACCGGGGTCTATTTTTAGTTCAATTGAGTGTTAAGTTTAATCAATCTTACAACAAAACAGAGACACAACTTATTGGAAGAATTCATGTACTAAAACTGCGTATTTTTCCCCTTTTAATTCCAGCTTAAACTTATAAACGCTAAGGTCACTTTACTAAACGGTCCATTATTTAATTGTCCAAGAAAATGTTCAGTCTACGAAGCGTGAAGTAAATGAAAACGTTGACGTTTTAATGAATATAAAAATGCTCAATTCAGAGTACATTATTGGATTACGGGCGAACGTAATTAAGAGTGGTATCAGTTTGGAAGTTTAATTAAAGCCACTCGTTTACCTGGCCGGTTGTTTGTACGGGCTGCTGAGCGATCGGCCTAAATAGATTGTCAAAGCACCCTACATTGGAGGCCGCTCGTCGGCGGAAGGCCAGACGAGAGCTTTGTCAATAAGGAACGACGTTTGAGGTCAAGCCTTCTTGAATATGCGACGTCTTGATTAAATTATGCGCACCTCAGACGGACATTTTGCTGTTTTATGAATTTCAAAGATTCTGCGTTTTTTATTCAAATCGTTCAAAGTTTTTTGTATATTGTAGATATTCCCAGCGCTTTTTGTTAACTTTTCGGTTTTAATATTTCATTTCTTTTTCAGAAATTTTTGTGTATCAAATTCCTATTGAAGAGTTCAATGCCTCGTGTATTCGTTCCTTCATTCAGACTAAGGGTCAACGTGTTTGATTAACATTTTGTATAAAAATTGAATCCCGCTTAAAGTTTTCAAAAACTAAGGATATCAATACACTAAGCTGTGTAATTGTCTACTTATTACTGAATTTTTACAGTGTTGAACGATTAAATCTTGCAACAAATTGGCTGAGAGTTCGAATGCAATTTAATGAGCTCTATTTGAGTCGCTCGTTAGGTGACATGAACTAAGCCTAATTGTACGTCAACGCGTGTTCTTGGTGTGTTATGTTGAAATTGCTCTATAAAATAGGTATTTATCTCCAAAATTATCAAAAAAAGTGTTTGTGCTACAATGTTATGGATATTGTAAAGGTACGAGAGGTTAACCATTAATAAACCCAAATAGTTATTCAATTTTAATAGGTTTAAATCCAAATCTAATTAATGTCTTCCACTTCTCTATTAAAATTTAGTTTTTAAATTATCCGCATTTTTTTTCGTTCGTTCGTTCGTTCTTAATACTATCCTTAATCAATTATAGAAGACAATTTAATGATGACTGCTACTGTTACTGAGTACGGCGTTAGATAGTTAAAGTTATCATCTATAAAAAGTCATTTTCGAGATGAATTTTTTTAAAACCAAAATTTAAATAAAGAGATAAACTGCTTACTGTTATGGTCAATCCTTTATCTCAGTGGTAATAAAAATCTGGTTTTTCTTAGTCATAATAACAATGAAAATACGAATGACTGTAATAAAAAATAATAATAAATTGAATACTGCTAGTTTTGTCAACTTATAAAATGGTATATTTGCCGGAAGTGTGAATAGCATGTGAATAAAATAACAACACTCGACATGACCCGAGAGAAGACCCAACTCGAAAAGTCCGCTATTACACCGGAAAATGGAAACCAAACCTTTCCTCGTAAACCTTTCAACCTTTTGATATCGGGAGTATAAATCACAAATTGGCATATATATTTTTTTAATTATGTACATAATTTTTTATAGTTATTTCTTTTGTCATCGATTGATTAATAATAAATAAATTCATTAATTATGTTAAATATTTAGAAAGAAAGCTGTTTCTAATATGATGTAAGATAAAAACTAAATTGTTTTTAACATGACATTTATTTATGTTATTTAACCGATCGTTAACTATGTACAAAGAACGGTTTGGTGTCAGTTGTTAGACAATTTCTTTTAAGGATAAATTTGAGTACATTCCTCGATTTATCCTTCGATTTATCCTATTCGTTTACCAAAAAAGGCATACAATTGTCAGTTGTAAAGGGAACAATAATACAGGAATAATGCGAAAAGACAGGCTGATAATAATATATATATTTTTCCTTTCAGTACAAATACAAAAAGATTACAGTACGCACAAAATACCCACGCCATAATATAATATTGAGGGCATTATAATAATAAAATCATAATCGGAAAGTATCGAAGCAATTAGTTACTACATGTGTTTATTTTGTGTACCCAATTGATAGAACAAAATAAAGATAAAATCAAATTTAACGTGAAGATTGGTTTTATCAAAAATTATCCTTAACAAAAATAAAATAAGTGCCTATTACAAACAACAATGTTTTATGTCATTGATATTAAACAATTCAAGTTCTTTTTTTACCACATAAGCCATTTTAAGTGACTAAATTTATTGGAATAAAATTTACTTACATGTTTTTTATTGAAATAAAATTTCTTTTAAACAACAAGAAGATACAAAGTTAATTACTTGGACGCGGAATTTTACATATACCAAATTCGCGTTATGCCACATGCACTCATTTAAGCATAATATTAAATGGTTTTATATCAACTTGATGTGGCAATCTCAGGCTGACCACAATTGCTGATAAGCACTTGAAACGTTTATATCCATTAAACAAGTTTTATTGAAATTAATGAATTTTGTATAAGATTTGTTTGTGTAATTTCATGTGAATTTTAGTACAATCGAATCGTGTTATACCTGTTAATAGTAAATTCTTCCATTTATTATGCTATAAACTAAGATTATATGCTCTTTTTTTATCTTTGCAACAATAACAAAAATATTCATATTTTATAGGATGAGATCGAGGACAGACCACGCGCAGCTACCTTTCTCAGTTCTCTGGCGGACTACTCCAACACAATACCCACGGCTTCCGCAGCTGATGCCGATGCACCAAAACCAGCTCCCCCAGCGCGGATGGGCACTCTCATCGGTGTCTACCTACCTTGTATTCAGAATATCTTCGGCGTTATCCTATTCATCCGTCTTACCTGGGTTGTTGGCACAGCTGGGGCTGCTCAAGGCTTCCTAATTGTTCTCATTTGCTGCTGCGCGGTAAGTGATATTATAAAAATCTTTTGATAAGTTGAAGTTTTCAAGAACTTTCAAAAGTAATTGTACGATTTTTTTAGACTATGTTAACGGCTATATCGATGTCTGCAATCGCAACGAACGGTGTTGTACCTGCGGGTGGTTCCTACTTTATGATCGGACGATCTTTGGGCCCGGAATGTGGAGGTGCAGTTGGTATGCTGTTCTATATTGGGACAACACTTGCTGCATCCATGTATATCGTTGGTGCTGTTGAAATTGTATTGGTACGCATATAAGATTAAAAAATACTCAGTGTTTTTGCAACCTCTATTTTTAGTTTTATTCATTTTTTCCAACAAAAATTTCGTATATAATGGATAATGGTAGGCAAGACTTATCAGAAACAAATTAATGTACAATTTAAACTACGGCTTCCTGATTTTGACAGTGTTTGATTCTCTCACAATAAAAATATCGTCGCGAGGCTTTGCAGTAAAACTACAATAGACGCGTGTGAATAATCTATTGATTAATTAACTAGACTTCACGGCCAATGAAGCCCTTATTCGCATCCGCATTAAGTTATGACACAATTAACTAATGTTGCATGAAGGTGGTAAACTATAAACCTATTAATTAAATTTTAATAAAGTACTCCCTATACTGAAACGGACACTTTTTTATTAAACCTTTTTCTTCTAGACATACATGGCACCGTGGCTGTCAATATTTGGAGATTTTACTAAAGACCCTCAAGCAATGTTTAATAACTTTCGAGTGTATGGAACTGGACTACTTTTGATTATGGGATTGATTGTCTTTGTGGGAGTAAAGTTTGTGAATAAATTTGCTACGATCGCCCTCGCTTGCGTAATCCTGTCAATATCAGCCGTTTACGCCGGAATTTTTGTTAACTTTAACGGAAACGACAAGCTGCAGTGAGTTATATAACCTTTTAAACTATTATTAAAACTCCTAATATTATTACTACATTTGTTAAAATATATTTTTCAGAATGTGCGTACTAGGTAAACGATTATTGAAGGACATACATATCAACAACTGTACTAAAAGTCCTGGCGGTGAATTAGAGCAAATATTCTGTCCTAATAATACTTGCGATCCTTACTACCAAATCCATGAAGTCAGTATTGTTCAGGGCATTAAGGTAAGAAAAAATACACAATATTTATAAATCCCGCTTGTTATCCCGAAAGAGTATTCAGAGACCAAATGAACCATAATCCTTGCTTGTTACGATCCTGCCGTCTGCCTTCCTTTTCCACTCATATAGTATTCGTCATACACACTAAACACTGAAAATAATATTAACGGGTTTATTTTGTATGTGTTCCATAGGGTCTGGCAAGCGGAGTCTTTTTCGATAATTTATATGATTCGTTTCTCTCACTTGGACAATACATAGCTTACGGAAAAGATCCCGAAGACATTGAACAAATGGAACGTCCAACATTTAATCAAGTATTTGCAGATATTACAACAACTTTTCCTATACTAATCGGAATATTCTTTCCTTCTGTCACTGGTAAATAAAATAAATTTAAATTATTATATGGCTATTATTAACTACTTTAAGCTGAGTTATTACACATTTATTTTTACAGGAATAATGGCTGGTTCAAATCGTTCCGGAGATTTAGCAGATGCTCAAAAAAGTATACCGATAGGAACAATATGCGCTATTTTGACAACATCACTGGTATATTTATCGTCCGTCTTGTTATTTGCTGGAACCGTGGACAATTTATTACTTCGTGACAAGTAAGAATATTCAGTCATTTTTTCTGTTTATTATAGGTGTCTTTATGTTTATATCCTTGCACGTAACCAGTATTAGCACTTGCGTCCTCTCTTCCAGATTTCCCTTTTCCTTTGCCTTGCTTATCGAATCTTTCCTTATGACTTCCGGTGTATTTAGAAACATCCGTTAATCGGGAAACTATATTTGAAGCATCAGTTTTCGTAGCATTAGATGTTCCAGGAATTCCACTTGTAGATAATTTAGAAATTATCTCCTCATGATTCTTCAATTTAGATTCTTTGCAAAGGCTATCGATGAAGTTCATGAATTGCTTAAAATTTATTGTTTTTGATTTAAATCTTTGAAATATTATGGCTGTATCTGTAGTAGACACTTTTTTTCCATCAATAATCCCCGCTTCTTTCAGCCACTTGTCTATGTTAGTTAATGTTATTGTTGTACCATCACTTTTTGAATTACCAAACTTCGCATATCCCTTAAAAACTTCTTCCAGGACAAGTTGCTTATTGAGATTGTCTACCATAATTTATTTTTATTAATATTTTAGTTATAACAAAAAAAACTAATACCTATATTCTACAAATGTAACATTATTAAGAACAAGCCTCCTAGATTTCATAACTATCAATCAGTTTGTTTTACAATAAAATATTTTTTTTAGATTTGGCCAGTCTATTGGTGGTAAACTGGTTGTAGCTAACATGGCCTGGCCCAATCAGTGGGTGATACTTATTGGATCCTTCCTCTCAACGCTTGGAGCTGGTCTACAATCTCTCACTGGAGCTCCCCGGTTACTCCAAGCCATTGCCAAAGATGAAATTATACCATTCCTAGCACCTTTTGCTGTATCATCGAGTAGAGGCGAACCAACACGGTACTTCTATGTTAAACTTAAAAGCATTTTAAATATAAAAAGAAAGTAACCGAATCATTGAAATTATTTTATGATGTACATAATCATTATTTATTATTATTAATATATATATAATTCTTCTGTGAGTGTGTATGTCACTGAACTTCTCTCAAACGACTGGACCGATTTTGATGAAATTTTTTGTGTGTGTTCAAGGGGATCTGGGAATGGTTTAGATTCACAAATCAGCCCGGCAGATGGCACTGCAGTCGGTACCTTCATACTTTGCTTAATATCCTAATCGCTTTAAATATCATGCAGGACAACGTCTGTGGGGTCCACTAGTTTATTAATAAAATTGGGACAGGAAAAGGCCGGAGCAAATAAATAATCTATACCACACACACATCCACACAAATAAAAAATCTATACCACTCACACCTATATTTTTTCAGAGCTCTTCTTCTAACGATGCTTCTATGTGAATTTGGTATACTGCTTGGAGACGTGGATATTTTGGCACCTTTACTATCTATGTTTTTCTTGATGTGCTACGGATTCGTAAATCTGGCATGTGCTCTCCAGACATTAATGAAAACTGCAAACTGGCGACCCAGATTCAAATACTATCATTGGTAATTGAATTTATAATGAATAAATAGTAAATAAAGCATTCGTGGAAAATAAAATATTTTATACACAAATTGTATTTATTTTTAGGTCACTATCAATTGCTGGTTTGATTTTATGCATTTCAATTATGTTTATGACTTCATGGTTCTACGCCCTGATTGCTATGGGATTAGCGGGAGTAGTATACAAATATATTGAATATCGAGGGTAAGTGTTAATTAATTAAATTAGTGTGAATTAATGAAAAGCTTTAGGCTGCTTAAATGTTATTACAGTTTAAGGGCACTTTCTTATTCTATATCTTCGTATTACTTACACATTCTATAGTCACGAGATAATATGAAATCGCATAGTTAAAAGTGCATTCAAATTGCAATGTGCAATAAAATAAAAAATAATGTATAATCATCTGAATTAATTTGAATCATTTTTTTCTTCCTTTAAGTGCTGAGAAAGAATGGGGCGATGGTCTTCGGGGACTCGCGCTATCTGCTGCTCGGTATTCTTTACTGCGTCTTGAGGAAGGGCCTCCACACACCAAAAATTGGCGTCCACAAGTACTGGTTCTTGCTAAACTGAATGAGGATCTTAACCCGAAATACCGAAAGATGCTTGCATTCGCGAGTCAATTAAAAGCTGGTAAGCAATATGAATACAAAAATAAAGTTAAAAATTACTGAACTTTCACTAAGGTTTAATAATAATAATAACACATTTTTAATTTGTAACATTCAGGCAAAGGTTTAACAGTATGCGTATCGGTCCTTGGTGGTGACTTCAACCGACGAGCTGGAGAGGCTTCAACGGCTAAGCAGAATCTGCGTAAATGCATGGAAGAAGAGAAAGTTAAAGGGTTCACCGATGTGCTCGTAGCTAATAGCATTGCTGACGGACTAAGTCATTTGTAAGCATAATACACTCAATAATATAATACAACTACTGGTATTATGATAGACAAAAGAGTTGGAATTTTCGATAGCTAAAACCTTAGCTGATAGCTGTTCCCTTGCATAAATTTTAGTAGTTACATAATTAAAATCTTAAAAATTCCTTTTCTTTCAGCGTCCAAACTACTGGTTTAGGAGGCTTGAAGCCCAATACAGTAATTGTTGGTTGGCCGTACGGCTGGCGACAGTCTGAAGATGATCGCACTTGGCATGTCTTCCTGCACACTGTCCGAGCCGTCACAGCTGCTAGAATGGCCATGCTTGTACCTAAAGGCATCAACTTCTTTCCTGATTCAACTGAAAAGGTGAATTTGACTTTAAGATAAGCTATATATTTGGCAGCATTTTTTAACATGATTCTGAATTGTTGTTTACGTTAAAACTCTGTTAACCAAACAATTAACCCAATGTATCGTATATTTGTAGATATCTGGGAACATCGATATCTGGTGGATAGTTCACGACGGCGGCATGTTGATGTTGTTGCCTTTCTTACTCAAACAACACCGTACGTGGAAAAACTGTAAAATGCGTATTTTCACTGTAGCGCAAATGGAGGATAACTCGATTCAAATGAAAAAAGACCTTAAAATGTTCCTGTATCAACTACGATTAGAAGCAGAAGTTGAAGTTGTGGAAATGGTAAGCAGATAACTTGGAGCTAGAAATACTAGATTTAATTTGCTTTATACTAATTACTAAATACACTGAGACATGTCTTTCAAAATTATTCGAAAAGTATTAGAAGTCGAAAACTCAAATGATGTTCTATATCCATTTGTGATTGTAATTATAACTTAGTGCACTTAATAAGTTAGAAAAAAATTGCAGACTGACAGCGACATTTCCGCCTACACATACGAACGAACATTAATGATGGAACAACGAAACCAGATGCTGCGCGAACTAAGACTAAACAAGAAGGAGACTATGGGAATGGTAATTATTACTCAAATAGTTAAAAACTGTATCCTCACTAGCACTAAGCTAACCTGTAATGTTGTCCATATCACTTGACACTTGCTATATATAAGTATGAATGTGTTTGTATTAATATAATAATGAATTATTCTGTCGCTGCTAACACAGATGCAAAATTTGGTGGACTATCGTGAACAAACCGCTGAGGAAAAGTTACCTCTGGTAAAATACCCAACCCTTACGTCCACTTCTTTTTAAATATCATTAATACCCATCTTAGTTTCTGTTTTTGTCGACCTTCGATTTTACCTTAAGACTCGATGTGTAAAAATATTCCACATGCTTGTAACGTCTTTAACTTAGATCATCAAGGTACGACGCTATCCATCTTGTGAGTGATTGCACATTAATCGTAACCAACATTCATTTAGCATTTTCATGTTTATAAAATTATATTTATTTATATAGCAAAGCACAGACTGCTTTTGATGTTAAGCTTTTTGTATAAATATATTGTATTTTCTTCGCTGTAAATATGTATATATATATTTGTTAAATAAACTTTGCTATTCATACTTTATAGATTTTAGAATATTAAACATGTTAACTGGAGTCTCCGAAATTTACGCGAGTTATTCAGATGCAAGTTTTGGTCTTATCTTTATATAGCATGGTTAAATTCAGTATGTAATATACCTATTAGATGTGCTTGTATTAGATAGTAATTAAATTGTTTACATGTGGAATCACGTGGATTATATTTACACAGGTACAAGCCATAGTTGACCATCACCACGCAGATATTAAGACGGCAAGCAAAGTACGATTTGCAGATCCAGGCAGCGAACCGAATCTGAACGATGCACCATCCCCGCCTTTAGCTGACAGTGACGAAAAGGAACACGATGACAAGGTGATTAATGCTTAGTCGTGTTACTACCGAAATATACGCTTTATAAGAATCTAGCTTTATAAGGTTTTGTAATTCAATTTACAAAACATTTTTCACACAACATTATATACTTACCAATAATATAAAAAAGTGGCAATTGGTGAAAAAAAACTGGGTGAAACGTATAAAATCGAATGTGTATAAAATTTAGTGCTTAAACGACCAACTTTATCAACAAATTGTATTATCAAGACACTTGTTAAGTTTATTTAATATCATTTATCAATGGAGCATGCTTAATACTGTGTGTACAAAGCAGATTTTAATTTAATAATTTGCCACTGCTGCAAAGCGTATTTTAATGTGGCTCTCATTTTTTATTAAATCAATTTTTAATAATGCGCTTCACAGCGTTAAGACAACTACTATCCTTACAAAATAGATGATATAAACTATTATCTATTTCATAAGAAACTAATGTTATTGTTGTAAATGCAGAGAGTATTAATAAATATGTTCTTGTTTGCATTCACATCGTTACCACTGTTTTTGCAAGCCTGCACAGTTTATTATTCATCAGTTTTAATTTAATCATCAACATAATATAGCGGGTCCTAGCGAATTTACACACGGTGGTCATATGTTTGGTCATTCACTTTATAGTTCACTTTTCTTTGTTTCATTTCACATAGTAGTATGAATGTTTTGATGTTCGTAGACAGCTATCGATTTGCAATTTAAATAATATATGACATCCCGTGTTTCATTCGCCTTGAATCTATTATGTGCAACTCGGCGCTCGACGAATCAAACCGATGAATTGTTGAAATGGAACAACAATAGGACGACTTTCGAAGTAGTTTGTTGCACATAATTGATTCAATGTGGGACTCGTCTGCTGAAAACTCACAGTGTGAGGGAGCTCCTTCGCCACCTCCGGACGCTGAAAAGAAAGATGGCAACGCTAATGGTGACGCGCTCAACCCTAAACCTAATTTGACCAGTATTACACCGTAAGTTTTGTACTTTTTACTACCGCTAATCAAAACATTACATCTTATAACGGAAATCTTGCGCCATAGTCAGTATCGCACCAGCGCGGCGGTGCAGTCAGTGGCTAATGGATAGGTCTACTCTGGGTTAGGTCTAAATTAGTTTGACTAAGTACATTCTAAAATAAAATATATTTCCAACTATTTAATTGCTTATACTTTTCTATTATAAATCAAAACTCTTAATATTAGTTTTGTATATGAATCGTATTGGCACAATGCAGGTAACGACATTGACCAAAACTTATCAATTTATACTGTAATGAATAATACTAATTGTTTACTTTTACTAACAGTAGTTTATAAAGGATGCCTCAAAAACGCATGAATATGAATAAAATATAACAATTCGTTAAAAATTTCAGTGATGAGGGTACAGTTCGACGCATGCACACAGCGGTAAAATTAAACGAAGTTATCGTGTCTCGATCCCATGACGCACAATTAGTCATACTTAACCTGCCTGGTCCTCCTCGTGACACCAAACTTGAAAGGGAATCAAACTGTAAGTCATTTTAATTTATTCCATGACTGCTGTTGCCTACAATAAATAGCTCAAATAAAAGTATAAACAACTTAGCCTACAGAAAAAAAGAGGTTTTATCTGTCATCCCTGCAATATAAGCTATAAAATAAATAAATCAGTGGCGCTACAACCTCTGTAGGTCTGGCCCTCAAATTTCTGAATCTGTTTGATGATCATTTTCCAATTAGGTGTAGGTAGGTAGGTGTAGGTGTAGGCAAGTAGGTGATCAGCCTAATGTACCTGTCACACGCCGTTGACTTTTTGGGTCTAAGAAAGTCGGTTTAATCACGATGTTTTCCTTCACCGTTTGAGCGAATGTTAAATCGAGTGCGAGTCGCACGCTGATGCCACTAGGCCAACGCTCCTCTCAATATAAGCTATAGTTGTCCAACATTTATTTAAGACTATTGGAGATTTTTACATTCCATAACATCTAGCTACTATTGCTGTCCTGATAAAAATCGGTTGTAATATGTTAAATGTATTAAATACTATTTATTTATAATTTACAGATATGGAGTTCCTAGAAGTGTTAACTGAGGGATTAGAAAAGGTTTTAATGGTACGTGGCGGCGGTCGGGAGGTGATCACCATATACTCGTGAATATGTTGCCTTCTGATATGTATTTCGAAAAGGCAATATTACACATTTCGTGCGTTTTTAGGATACTTCACGAAATGACTTCAAAATAACGTATTATATTCCTTAATGATTGAATTATTTAACTTTAAAAATTTTTTTATGATTTCATTTAAAATGTACCGCAATTGAACGTGTAAGTTTTGTTACATGGATTTGTTATTAAGTTTATTAAGTGTTGTATATTTTCTGTCTGAGTGTAGGAAATTTAAGTAAATTATATTAAATTGAATTACTTATTCTAACAAGGAGCCTTACTTAGATCTAGTTCTAAGTTGGTTTTGTTATAGTCTAGCGAGTAGCGATACATTTGTTACAGATATGCCATATCGTTTTTAATTTTACGATTGTTATACTATCCTTCGACTTTATTTTTTCTATCGATTTTAAGAATAGCTATTTTATAGATTTAGAATTTACAATCTTATGAATTCTGTATTTAATGTAAATACTAATTCTGTTCTTAAGACGTCTGCTCAACTTTAAAATAACGTTTGGACTGAGAATAACATTTTATTTATCCAGTGAAAACATGAAAAGGATTGGACTAATCGATCTAGTCATTTTAAGGCTGGTTCCAATATTCACGAACTAGGTACATTAATAAGAAACTAACATATAATATTTTGGAACAGATAAATTAACTGGCTTTTCTTCAACAGCTAAAGTGACTACTTAAATGATAATACATTTTTATTGTATAATCAAACCTTAGCCAAAAATATTGGCCTACAAAAGGCTATATTTGCTTATTAGAACTATCTGCCAGCCGTACAGACAGTACTTAATTGTATTATGACTAAGAAAAGAAAAGCTATATATTGTTTTAATGCTATTGGCAGATAGATTTATAACGAATTAAAAAAATATTATATGCAAAGTTTTACTTGAAAATTTACGCAGGTCTCTTTACCTTTAGATGGCAACACGTAACTATAGTGTTTGACTCATAAACTTTTTGCGCACATTCGCGTAGTTAGAAGATTTCTTACTGTGATCGTTTATATACCGTTTTGTCATTTTGTAAGATTAATTCATTGTGGCAGAATATCTTCTAGTTTTAAGCAGAAATAGAATAGCCTAAGATAACTGGATTATATAATAATCTTAAATGTATTTGTCTATAGGTTATCTTTTAGTAAAAGTACCTAAACTATACCTAAAAATAATATTATTAAACTCTACCTTCAGAGATATCAATAACATTCCAAAACTTTTCTAAGTATATTTGAGATAACTTAAAAGAAGAAGTACCTTGTACAAACATTTATTGCTTCTAAGATAAGCATAATTACTCTTCATAAGAAACTAGTATTCAGTAAGTATTCTGAGGTGTGTTCCTCAGAAACTTTTAAGTCAAAATGGCAAACAACTGCCAGTAGCATCGCAGTTAACTTACCAATAAGAAAGAGTTGGACTAAATTAAAAAACGTCAATTTATTTACTATAACATTTACTTAGTTAATCATTCTTATGTGCAAAGAGCGTTAGATGACTGCCAAACTAAGTATTGATGTTGTAAAAAATATAGAAAATAAGATTATAATTTTAAGTAATATTGGTTGACATTTGGAGATTCTAGTTGATTAGATTCAAGCAAATATTAGATGTGTAAGGATGATGCATGATATCACTTTTTGTAGAAATCATACTCATAGAATGTTAATAAGGTAAATAGTTATTCCTATCTTTATTAGTGTTCTTGTAGAGATCACAAAACAAACATCTTCAGGACGAGTTATATTACGTTTTCGAGCTACTTACTTTAAAATTCTATTTTAGGAGCTTTGTTTCCGTAAATTCATCAAAACTATTTGTACTATTTTTAAAGCTGATTAATGAAATATACGATAATTTATCGTTATATAAACAAAATTAATATGTAAAACTTAAAGATGTGACATAATTCTCAAAATCTACTTGGCGTACCAACGTTTTGTTCTCCAATATTAGCAAAGTCTACGAAGCGGCTATAGCCTTTATGACGCATTTTGCCTTTAGATAGTTATAAAAGAAAACATAATAATATAATTATTTAAAAATGCAAATTTAAAAAAATACCTTAATCAAATTAAGTACCTAAAGTAGGTGTATGCTATTCTATTTAATTACTAAAATACATAATTATTTTACTTCGAGTAAAATAAATTATCACTAAGTGATTTTTTCCGAAAATAAAAATTCAAATAATTTTATGAAAATGTTTGTAAATTGACAAAAATAATACAATAGTTTATTTTAAACTAAAGAGCTTATGAATAAAATTTCCTATTTACTACTTCCTTCAAACTTTTATCACGCAAAGCAAAATAATAAATAGAGATATTTACGAAGGAATGCTAATAAAATTTATTGTTTAGGTAAGCAAGAGTATATTACAGTACCTACCTACGCATATTATCCCATAAATGAGATCTTACGCTTAAAATGTTGATTATTATTGCTGCATAATTCAACACAAATATAGTTAGGTAAACATTTATTTCGTATTGATTGTTGCGACCATTATAGTAGTATGATCATCAACCAACAACGGATTCTGCTGTTAATTCGAACTTCGCTTTAAGGCATCGATTATTAAGTGTGCCAAATCAAATGTCAAATTTTCATTGCATTCAATTAACTTTTATGCTTATAGATACCTGACATACCGTAGAAAATGTAAATATTGTGTAGAAATTGGCACAATGTGGTAATTTAACGGTATTTATCAGAAAAAAATATTTTATATTAATTTCTTTTCAACATGTTTTTTTTAATAATACGCATGTTTTAATACTGAAGACGTCACGGTTACAGGATCTGAATTATTAAAAGCACAATGCCATCACAAACGGTTTTCAGTGCTATAATGAAATGAAAGTAAGGTGTTACTAAAAGAAATTCATAATTTAGACGTGTTTAAGTAGGTACTAGTTACTAAGTCATCTGTTTATTGTACCTATTCTGTGAACTGTTATTGTTAAATAAAAATTCCCTAATTAGATTGAAGGCTGTGAGCCGACTTAATCAATGATCGATCAAGCTAGAGCCGCTGTGATACAACATATGGCTATAAAAATAGAATTCGTACTTTATAATATTTCTGTTATCACCTTCAACAATAACGAATAAAATTGCAATTGCTGTACCTACTCGGAAACGTAAACATTCTAATTCGATTGTACCTATGTTATTCACGTATAAAGTTAGCTTTCATGGCCCTTAAGTAGTTTCTTTACGCAATCTTGATTAGAAATATTTTCCCCTAATACCTAACCAACTGATTAAATAAGCGTATTTAAAGACGGGCCGTGCCTACCCATGGATGTTAGGTCACCGACTCTATATTCTGAAAAATAACCCTAGGTATATATGCCAATGGGTATACTATTGTTGTTTTGTAGTTTGAACATTCGTATTATTCGTTATGCCATATTTTGATACTGCGTTATTTTTATTTTATATAGATTCTGTTATTCTACAATATTTTTAAACTATTAAGAAAATTAATAATTAGTGTCTAAAGTGTGAAAATCTATTTCCACTGGTAAGCTAAGAAATTATTAAAAATACCTTTTCAAATAATAACTCTAGCAAATTAGATTGATTCAGTGATCACATTCTACAATAAGGAAATGTTATAAATATAATAAAGTAATTAAATTTATTTCTTAGTTTTATTATAATTTCCTTATACTTCATGCCTTCCCATATCCACAGTATAGTGGTTAAACACTTAGTTTACAAAAGTTGGTTTACTCAGATCCTGGACTTGAATTAATGGGAAACATATAATTGCTTTATTGTAAAAACAGTTTAACACAGAAAAGCTATATGTTTATAAGAAGTCACATTTGTATGAATTTAAGAGTTTTAAGTCAAATCTGTTATTTTTCAAATTATGTAACACTACTGTATATTACTATATATATTAAAAGTGTTAGATGTTATAGTGTAACTGCAGACTGCAATAACAGGATTTGTGTTGTAAGAAGATAGGGTCACATCCATATAACCTATTAAAGGATTTAAAAAACTAAAAGATTAATGACAACTTTATGTTTTTATATTATACATATTTTTATTTTTAAAACTTACAAGACTCACAAAATATATTTATTAATTAAAATACCTGATTATATCACAGAAGTTATAAACATGGGTGTCATGTCAAACATGGTTTATCACTGCTAAATACTTTTGATATCAATTTATCTAAGTTGCAAACCCAATAGCATACCTTTATCTAAAATTCTGTCACAATTCCTTTGAGTATCACAAACAAGATTCTTATAAACCAATGCTATCTAACATATACTTTTCCAACTCTTTGTGTTTGTATGACATAGACAGCTGACAAAGTAAAATGTACTTAAGGCTAACTACTTTAAAACCAAGCAAATTTAAATGTCTTTTCTTCATCTCTTGAGGTCCAATAAGTTGTTCACTTTTAGTGCAATAATGGTCTGGCAAATGTATAAGCAGAGCTATATTTCGGTTTTTTACTGTTTTGAGTTTCCAATTAAAAGTGTCACTACCTAAACCAATCGGATGAATCATTATATCAATAATAAAATTTGCATCTGAGCATAAATTAGGGATGAAGACAGCAAATGAGACTCTATTTTGTCCAAAGATATCAAAAACTACATGTTTTACCCTATTTATTAAACTACATATCCTTTGGTCTTGCAAAACTGGTTCGAGCCCCTGATCTTTAGGCAACAGGGGACCACCATATTCAATGCATTCAACTGATAGAGCTGTGTCAATCAAGTAAAATTTTTGTAACAAATGCAAGCTACTGATCTTTGTAAAGTATTCTGAATGAAGGACTTTTGTAACCAATCTCGTTGGATATTCCCTAACATAAATATAGGACAACATTATTGAGCATAGATCTTGAATATTTACCTTCTTATAGGATTCTAATAATATTGTTTCTGTAATATCCCAAAGTCTTTGATTAGCTGGCTTAAAATATAAGAATCCAATTGGATGAATAAAGGAATTCAAAAAACTCACAGGTATATTGTTTAAATTTTTAAGATAATGATCACAGCATATGTTAAGTATTTGCTCATTCCGCAATTGAAACTTCACAAGGTAATTAAGTATACCAATAATTAGAATATATGATTTTATCTTATGTCCTTTTAACTTTATATATTTTTCCACTCCGCCTTCAATTTGATCATCTGTATAATTCAATAAAATAAACTTTGTAATAATATCCAAGAAAGCATCTTCATGAAGTGCATGTATATTAGAAAAAAACCATTTAGCCAATATTCCATATGATTGCACGGAAAAATATTTTTCTGTTATAAAGACATCCATAATATCAACCATACAATCAGGTGTGATTTTAGGCCATAGTTCTATTAATTTATGTTCTAAAAAAGTAATCATAGCTTTTTTGCTGACTTTTAAACCATGTAGTATGGTAAATATTTTTTCAATATTTGATTCATTAACATTTGCCTCATTTGCAGTAAATCCAACCCATAGCTTATCTATCATATCAATATAATATTGGTCATCATTATTGATGAGCAAAAAGGATGCAAATTCATATAACTGATCTACATTTAGCTTATTGTCCGTAACTCTGAGTAACAATTCTTCACAAAATTTATTTTTATGTGGTACTATCAATGATGAATTTGTTTTCAAAACATTTAAAATTGTTTGTGTGTCTTCAGTTTTCATTACCACTTTCAATAGCTTATCTAAAATAGCACCTTTAGCAAAATAAACATTACTGTAGTAATTTTCATTTGAATTATATGTCACTGACTTGGTATTTCTTTCTAAGTCATAAATTCTTTCTATAGCACCCAGTGCTATATTAGGAGTTATTTTTGTACACTTTGTTATAAGAGAAAAAACGTCACGTAAATCCACACATTGTTTAAATTCTTCTTGTATTAAATGATAGTTAACAGATTTATTGTTACGTTTTGGTACTTCTTTTTCGGGACCATTTAAGTCAGACAAATCTTTTAATTTCCTGATAACAACTGGAAGCTCCGTAACATTATAACCAATTTCATGTAACATAGTGCTATTTATTAACTCAGGATTGTTAGAATCATTATTGCTTTGATTTCGTGAGAGATTTTCATTATTCGGTAATATTGCGTTGCATTTTCCTGATAGTAATGTTTTTGTTGTATTTGATTTAGTATACGATCTCCACAAGACTAACATCACTTTAAAGCTTTACTTTATTACACAGAGGTAGCAAAAATCGCAAAAATATATTAAACGTAAATTCTGTAATTATACAAATTTAAAATAATGATAACACTGTTATCATTATCACTTGAATTCACTAATCACTTGTTGCTTTTTTTCCTTAGTTTTTATATGTGACAGCTGTGAGCTGACTACTTATGTCAGTTTTTTTTTTTTTTTTAGGCTCTGGCACGGTTTGTGCATTAGCCAGCGTCAAGTATGAGATTTTTATCATTCGTGCTTTTTGCCTTAGAAATTCAATCATATCCTCCATGTACGGTTTAGGCACTCGCCCGGTACCGCACAACTCTCCCAAAGGCCAAGAACAAATTTAAATTAAATTAAAACTTGCCCTCGAACCGGGAATCGAACCCGGCACCCCTCACCTAGCTGCCACTTAATAAGACCGCTAGGCTATGAGGCCCCCCTCATGTCAGTTGTATGTGTTATCAAGTTGTCATTTGTAGACGTGCCAGCTTATCACTGTTGATTTCCCCGATTAATAATAATAAAAAAATAATAAAAATCACTTTATTTGACGAAAAAACAATTACATTTTGTACTTACATTCTAAATGTTATAAACATACAATATGCAACGAATCGTTGTGTTCTCACTATTAATTTTAGTTAACCTCGTATATAAAATAATTATATGTGCACTAGCGTTTAAACTACGCCTAGCCTGTATCTTAAACGCTAGTTTCTTTAACAAATTGGCTAAGTTGTTTGTGATTAGATGTTTATTCGGGTTATATTTTTATTGTTTATAAAACTAAATGAGGGTAGAATCTAAAAAAAGTTGTTGCAATTGGTTAGACCGTAGTAAATGTGAACTTCGACAAAGATTTTTAAATCTTGTGGATGAGAAACTTCAATTTGAGATATGAATTTATTATCGTTATAATTTATATAATTACGGAAACTAATATTAAGTATTAAGATTTTATATTTGAATTACATTTCTGAACACTCTTAGGACTGAGGTTAGATATTTTAAATAGGAAAATTTATTATTTTACATTAGCAAACAAGTTTTCTATTTCATTATATTTCTGAGTTTTTAGCCATTCAACCAGTTTTATTTTACATTCATAGATATTAAGGGGATAAATATTCAGAATTTTTTTCAGTCTATTGTACAACATGGGGCCTGTATACCATTGAAATTTTTGTAAATAACTTGTTTTAGCTTTAATGGTGGGACAGACTCTATGTGTTCGTTTATTTGCGATGGCATCATCATAAATTAATTTTTGATGTTGATGTGGGATATTGTTGACTTATATAGAAATTTGTTAACGTCTGTCAACCTCATGGCAGACATAAGAATTATACATCTGTATTCTGTAATAATAACTACATTGAATGTTGATTAAAAGTAAACTCAATTTCTATCACACTCAACGCACGATCTCAGGTTTTAACTCCGCGCCACATTTAAATACAATAATATATAATAGCAATGTTGGTGAACGTGTAGTTTATAAAAGTGCATATGAAGGAAAGATTAAAATTTTCTTCAATTTGAAGAATGCCTTAAATATATATAACACTCATAGTCTGGCAACATTGCCTTATGTACATTGTCTTTGTGACGAGCTATCAATTAACTCGTGATTCTTGTTTTACTAAGCATGATCCTTTTATTTATTTTTGCGCGACTGTTGACTGTCGCGGGAGCTTGTAAATTAATATCTTTCCACCGTGCCTTGACTGAAAAAAGTCGGACATTTTATAGAATTTTCACCTGACCTAGCCGTAAACCTGCTCTTGGTATAAGAATTGTAAGTACAGACACTACTCCTATTATAATAGAGAACGATCAAAAAAGTAAACAAAAAATTTATCAGAATAAACGTCATGTATTTTGTTTGCTTTCGAGTAACAATCCATTTACAAAATTCTTCTTCATTAAATTATTGTTATGAAAATATAATGTATCTTACCATTGTTTCAGACAACTTACTTATATTTAATAAAATATGCCTGAAGTCACAAAAGTAAGTACCTACATGATATTATGTATCTATTTTTTATAATATCAAAAAAAACTTACACCTCATTAGGTTTTAAGTGTTTTTTATTATCGGAAATTCATGATAAGTTGCTTTAGTGGATTTTTAGTTTAGGTAAAGAAGGAATATGTTAAATAATATAACATAAGTAAAGAGTTTCTTTGTTTGTTTTGGTTGAAACGCGCTAATCTTAATAATCCCTTGTTTGAATTGAAAAAATATTTTTTGTTTTGGATAGTCCATTTATTGCGGACATAACCTTCAACCGATACCAACATCTTCAATTTACTAAACAGCTATTGTGTGAAATGAAACGCAATGTACAATTATATATAATCGAGGGTACACAATATGTTTTATAACTATGTATGTAATTTACGAACGCTGACATATTACATATAATACGTTTTTGAACGAGTATCCAATTACGCTTATTAACGGTTAAATTGTCTATCTAATGATGGCGGCAGGTTTGCGTTTTGTTGCAGTCATATCAATTGCCTCTACTCGGCGGGCCGAGCATTTGTAATAATTTGTAAAAAAAGAATAAAGCGCTTAAATAATGTAATTACATGCTTATCTTTTATCAGAATTTTATTTGGCTAACGTACTTGTCGAAAACGATATGAATTTTAACTAAGTTATCTTATCTTTTTTCAGATGTTTCGACAACTTCGATGGGGTGTAGCAGGTGTGGGGATGATCAGCCACGATTTTCTGACTGCTATGGCCTCACTCCCAGCTGATCAGCATAAAGTAATCGCTATCGCTGGCAAAGACCTAGATCGTGTTCATAGATTAGCTACGCTCCATAAAATTCCGACTGCTTATGAAGGTTACGAAGCGATGGCGCACGACACCTCAATAGGTACGTCAAGAAATAATTATACATTTTCTGATTGCTTATTTCGTACCATTCACCAATCGCAAGAGAAGTTCATCAAATGTTTAGCGTCATTCCTTTTTCAGAAATCGTATTCGTCAGCGTACTTAATATGCAACATTATGAGATAAGTAAGTTAATGCTTGAGAATGGTAAGCACGTTTTGTGTGAGAAGCCAATAGGAATGACATATAAACAGACTAAGGCTCTTGTCAACCTGGCCCGGGAAAGAAAGCTATTTCTCCTTGAAGGGATGTGGTCCCGCTTCTTTCCTGCGTACGATGCTTTGGATAAACATTTATCGGCTGGCGGTCTTGGGGATATATATCATATTAACATACAATTCGGTGTGGAAATTACAGACTTAGAGCGGAACTTGTAAGATATTTTTATACTATTTTCCTTTTATGGCTTCAATTTAAACAGGTATGAAATATTTGGCGTGAAATCAATAAAGCCAAGGTATTTTCCTGATTGAGTTCAAGACTGTTCATTCGAAGATACTTCCGCCCTTGCAAAATATCATTGGTTGTAATCAGTTTACGCATTGTTAATATTTCATCCATAATAATGATTTAGGCTTCGTACATGAGCATGTTGTATTGTATACGTACGACATTAATGTCAACATAAATTACATTTATAGTTTTGCTAATTAACTGCCAAGGTTGTAATTATCTCGAAAAGCGTAAGCCGGTTAATAGTTTTAATTGGTCCGTTTTGGGTTTTTTGTTGAGCATCTAGATGCATAGAAACCCTTGTTAAAAAACCTTTTATGCATTGGAATGTTTCTAATATATATAAAATATCTTGCGCTAGCATACGACACACTTTTACTTCGAATATTTAATCTTCATTCCAATTAAATTGTTTCCATCGATATTATCTAATGACTTTGTGCTTGTAAAAATTTAATTATTCATATTTAAAATATAAACGTCTCCATTGATAAAATGTCTTGTCATGGGTCTGATTATCAGGATATATCATTTTTTTTGGGAAGGTGCTTTTGGCTTATTACGTACTTTCCTACATTTAATCAAGATAAACGCACTTATAAATGCATCTGCGCCCTCTTAATTAAATCGATATTTCAGAATGAAAGACTTGGGTGGCGGAGCGGTACTTGACTTAGGAATATATATGCTTCAATTCCTTCAATTCGTCTACAAGGAGCCCCCAACCGATATTGTATGCACTGGGCATCTAAGTAAGGTCGGCGTTGACGAATCGATTTCTTGCGTGCTGAAGTACAGCGACGGCAGGACTGCGACTATAGCAGCGCATACCAGAGCTACTATGACGAATAGAGCTGAAATTACTGGCACAAAAGGCAGTATTGCGGTATGTATTCTAACGTAGTAATTTATTTTTATTTATTTATTAAGGAAACTAAACAGATACATCTGTATACAGTAAAAATAAAATAAAAGTAAAACATAAAATAAACACATTGGACATATCCACAAAAAGTGTCACAGATAAAAAATACAATACAAAGTAAAACAAGACAAAACATGACAGCACAAAATTTGTAAATTAGGAGAACGACAAACAAACTAGCAGCTATTAAAATCAAGGAAGATACAAGGCTTAAGACATTAAGAGTTTTAACTTATTCTTAAATGAAGCAGTAGAGGAGTGCGAAAAAGGGTCAATGTTAATGGCAGAATCCAAGGCAGAACACACTCGTAAAGAGGTCACGGAACCTAATGTTGGTTCTGGGAGTCGGAAGGTTAAAAGTTCTGTGAGAGCGCGAGATCTGGCAAGAACATTAAATGGTATCAGTTCGAGAAGATGGAAACAAGTTATTTAATTTACGCATATTTTTCTAATAGTGACACAGTCTGTCAAATTACGCCTAATACTCAAAGAAAGTAATTTATATTTTTTTTAAAGTTTCTTATATTTAGCCCTATGTAATGCTTATAGTAAGTAACTCTCGCAGTATTATATTTACTGTTTAATTAATACTCTACGTGGTTTGGGGACGCGCTTGGTTTTTGTAATTTTTATTAGGAATGGTTTCGATCAATATAATTCAAACTGCCTGTAACAATTCCTACATAAGACACGTAGGTATGTATCTGGCTGCATAATCCATATAGATAATTTACAAATTCGGTATTGGTTCAAACCGTATTGAATTTTCCGGCGACTGATTTAAAGTCGTAATTGTACAATGGTTGAAATTTTATATTTAGTGAAAAATAATATTCATTGTAATTATTGTAAAATTCTTATCTATATTTAAATAACATTGCCTTCTGAATTAGTTAAAGACGGGCAAGGACAAATACTAATTTCTTTTAACGTTAATCGATACATATTCAAATTACCAAGGTTAATTATGAGCGCCGTGAAGATAATTAACATAAGGATAATAATGAATGTTTTCATAACTTGCTTCATTACTATTTTTACCTCACTGAAAACTCTTTATATTTTCTTCATATTATTCACTCTATGCAATGAGCCGATTGTAAATTAAATAAATGTCTCGTATTACAAGATAAATCTTCTCTATGTGTATTTAAACAGAACTTTCCACGGAGACAAACTTGTTACCCAAGCCAAATTATTTTGTCAGTATGATATCCTATATTAACAAATTTACGGAATATTTTAAATTAATTTTATAATAGGATTGTGTAATTGCGTAGCATAACTGTATGACTACTCCGTGAATAAAGCAACACTCTAAAAGTATTATACAAAATCAGTCCCAATCATGAAACCACCAGTCAAGTGTAAAATTTTCAGATGGACTATTTCTGGTGTCCAACCGTTTTGCACATATCGGCAGCTAATATTACGGAATGGACTCTACCAAAAGGAAAATACAGGTTTCACTTCCATAACAGTGCTGGTCTCAGCTATCAGATACAGGAGTGCTGGGACTGTATTAATAAAGGTGAATAATTTTGTTGCGATGTGAATTATTATATAAGTTTTTATTTAAAGTTCTTGCAAAACAATTCTTTATCAAAGAATGTTGATTTATCTGTAATTTTTGACACAAATAAATCATGTGATGGATTGGGAATGTAAAATGAAATCTTGTCAAATACGATAAAACTGCTAGAACAATAAAAGTTTATAAAATTATATTTTTTTTAAATATTGATGTTTTCAGATTTACTCGAAAGTCCTAAAATGAGCCTAGACGAAAGTGTCTTGTTAGCTAAATTAATGGACACCATGAGAGCACAAGTTGGAGTTCTAAATACAGCCACTTGGTGAAAGTTCCACTTAAAGTGGTAGTTAAATCGTGTAATTGACGGACGATTGACCTTTTAAATGCCTTATTTATAGAAGATATTGGCTATGCATACTTAGTAGTTTTCAAAATACGTAACGTTCAGTATTTACCTCAACAAATCTGTGATTTTAAATATTATGAAGTTGGCACTGTTGTGAATGAAATTTACAAATAAACTAATTTATTGAATCAGTTGTGTTTCTGTCCTTGTGTTTATGTATAGAAAATTTTACTACGCATACTGGACGACAGAATGATCTGTTATGTAATGGTTTATTGTTATATATCATTGAAAATTATTGCTACATTGAAACTTACTAAGACATTTTATATTATAAATTATTATGAACCATCTCCAACTTTTTTATAAATAAGTCGCGCTACAAATTTTTTAGGTCTGGGTCTGGGCCTTTTCTGTATCTGTTACATGATTATTTACAAATCTAATAGGCAAGTATGTGATCAACCTCCTGTGCCTGACACACACCGTCGACTTTTTAGGTCTAAGACTAGCCGGTTTCCTCACGATGTTATCCTTTGCCGTTCGAGCTAATTTTAAATGCGCACATAGAAAGAAAGTCCATTTCTGCACAGCTAGGGATCGAACCTACAACCTCAGGGATGAGAACCGCATGCTCCAACACTGCTCCAACTTTTAATACCTAGCATGAAAATAAAACACTTCAAAGAAAATTATGTATTTAATATATAATATGTAAAGCGCTTTCAGGAAATATAAAATTAATATTCTAAATAAATAGGTATTTATTTATAAGATTGAAAGGCTTTCTGAATAAGCTGAGCGCCATCTCGTAACTGCTGCTCAGTGATCACTAAAGGTGGGGCGAGGCGAATGGTCTGACCGTGTGTGGGCTTTGCCAGCAAACCAGCCTCCTTTAGCCGCTGACACACGCCATAGGCTGGGATACCTGAAATTAAAGACGTAATATAAATATATGAAGACAATAGAGCGGACATTTCTTACAAAATTTAAAAATTCTAGCGGAAAGGATTAAGTAACGTCACTAACGCATAGAGTCAAAGATTATTATGACGATATTTTTTTCGGAAAATAAGCCTTAAAATTACACCTATTAGCGTTAGCGTTTTTACCTGCATCAGCAATACATAGTTTCTATTAGTAGGAACACAATTCCGTTAATAAAATAGCGCTCCTTTTATACGACATATAGGTACGGTTTTTGGTATTTATAACATTCAAAATCGTCTTTGTCTTATTCTCATTCTAAATCCAATGGTGTTACTAATGTATTTTTTAACTAAATATAATTGCAGTTGGTTCTATTATTTAAAATCAAATGTCGATTCCACATAAAATCCACCATTATCGTTAGTATATGCACACTCTTTAGGGTGTAGGGACATAAATCAACAGTTTGTCTTCCGCGACATTTAATTATGATTTAAAATTAAATTTGCTAATAATGGATTATTAATAAAGATTAACTCACTCTCGTGTACATCAATAGCGAACATGAGTCCACGACCACGTATGGCAGTGACCATGTCTTTAGGAATCTTCTCAAGCTCCGCCCTTAAGATCGGCTCTAAGAGCGCAGCGTTCTCTGCCAGCTTTTCTTCTAGTAACACCTGTTAAACGAGATTCTAAATAGATATTTTTAACTGTCTCAGGAGGAAGTACTTGCGAGCCTTCTGGCAATGTGAGTGTCCTTGGGCGGCGGTATCATTTAACATCAGGTTAGCCTTCTGACCTTTTGTCCATAAAGCAATTTATCAGTTATAATGCGTGTAAATAATTTTGACAGGTATTTGAAGTCGGTTTATCTTATTATGTATTGAATCTATATAAATAAAAATGAATCGCAAAATGTTGCTAAGCTCAAAACTTGAAAAATACTCGATTTGGAGTTTTTATGGAGAGTAAAACATAGAGTTTAAGTTGATGTTATTATCATATTTTTAATTGCTTGATTCAAATTATCCTTTGCTTTATTTTGAAATTGTCGTTTTTATATCCATTTTACATATAACATTTTAGTTCTTAGTATTATTGTTATATTTTCATTACTTACTGACTTATATATATATATATATATGTGTATTACCTTGATAGCCTCTGTGGCCACCGCACAAGCCAACGGGTTTCCTCCGTACGTCGAACCGTGAGTACCGGGTTTTATTACCTGCAAGAATGAGATTCAAAATTTTCCTTTTCAAAAATATAGACAATAATAAAATAAAGTAATAAAAACTTACATCCATAACATTGTTATTAGCTAGAACCGCGGAGACAGGCAGAACACCACCACTCAAAGCTTTGCCCAAAATCAAAATGTCTGGCTTGACACCTTCGTGCTCAACGGCCAGTAATTTTCCAGTGCGCCCTGATAAAAAATGTACCGGTCAATTGAAATTGTTTCACCAAATTCAATTATCAAACTATTACTATTTCGAGTTTATTTATCTCAAATATAGTGTATTAAATTTTTATAAAGGTCTGATGTGCCAATAGAACCGTAAAAAATATTATTATTTTATTCGGCCGAGAATCGAACTCAGAACCTCGGAATGAAAGCCTTAAATTAACCAAATATTTGAAGACCAAACCACGAAGATATAATAAAAATGTATCTATTTTGTGTGGTATAAATCTTACCGAGACCAGTCTGTACTTCATCAGCAATCCAAAGCACATTGTACTTAGTGCACAATTCTCGCACCTTCTTCAAGTATCCATCGTCAGGAATGATGACTCCCGCCTCGCCCTGTATGGGTTCTACCATAAAAGCTGCTACGTTAGGATCTTGCAACTCTTTCTGAAATGTAAACATTTTTCATTTGGATACCATCTTAAATATTAGGTAGTAACCTAATTTTATTACAACATACAAATACATAATTTTATTAAAATATAAATTCCTTCACAGTTTCAATATCAAGACAAAAAATTAAATGCGCGGCCTGTCCCGGCTCGCGCTGCTGTGCGTTAATAGGTTGGAATGAAATATATTAAAGCCTTTCTTACTCGAAAATGTAGCATCCTAATGGTGAAATAATATTTTATATAATCTCATTCGGTAATATTCTAATTATGACATGAAATACAGTTTTTTATTGGCATATTTTCATTACATACTTCTATAAGAAAATTAAAAAATTAAATTAAAGCATTATTCTCATAACAAAACAATGCTTTAAAATATTTTTTTAATTATTAAAGTACAATGTGTCCCGACGAATGAGGTTTCAATTCAATTTAAGTACTTACACAATCTGTGGTGAGCGCGCTGGCTCCGAGCCAATAGACCAATAACAGACTTTTTCCATTATGGCGCTATTTCGTACTGTATACGATTTGAGTAATATTTTGTTGGATAAAACTTTAGTAGCAAAAATGTCAAGCAACACCGACGACACGGATGAAAATTTAACCTGACATTCTAGAAACAGCTACGAAACTGACGAATAGTCTTTTGCCAGAAAAATCAAGAAAAGCGTACGGCAAAAGTTACCAAGACTTTATGACTGCGAAACCTATAGCCATGAGATTAAATAAATTTGGGTATGCAACTGCATATAATTAGGTATTAAAACACTCGTGTAATCTTATTTTAAACTACACTCTTGTTTTAATAATACCCTCTATTATATGACAGTTGCATAAACTACTATTAATTAATGTCTTACTAAACTCCCAAAGACTACTTGTTTACTACACTCGAAAAGGATATTTAACGCCATACATTGCCAACGTAATAACAAAATACTTTAATTAAAATGTACTTACTTCTAAAGCTTGGATATCATTATATGGAACAACCATAAGACCAGGCATGTATGGACCGAATCCAGTATAGCAGTCAGGATCTGTAGAAGATGATACAGCCGATAGCGTGCGCCCCCAGAAATTGCCTTTCGCAAATATTATCTAGAACACATATTAAACAAAATTATAAGTATTATGATTATTACTAGCCTAGTCATTAAGTGCGTGACTCTTGACAGCCGTGCACTAGGAACCGGCACCCGGGGAAATACTACGGAAATTTTATTTCTGTGTGCATAAATAAAACTTCCAGATCCTTGGGCGGTGAAGAAGAACATATGAGTATGCATGCGTGGCATGTTCTACGAAGTGTGTTGAGTTCAGGTGGCTGCACCCTTCCGCTGTAACTTTAAATAGCGACAACTATACCGATCCAGACGTTTTTGTAAAAAAAAATATAAAATAAAATATGTTTATTATGGAACATAAGATACATGTATCACTTATTCCACGTCATTAAATTTGAATTTGTAGGCATCCCTACTCATCGGCAAAGAAGACAGAGCGTGTAGGCCGAGAGAAAAAGCCGGCGTAAAAAACTCTCGGTACTCTTCTAAAATAGCAAATCATCAAACAACACTTATTTTAAAACAAATGTATGAAAGTTCTATGTAATTCAAAATCCGTAGTAGCACTGATTTCACAACCTTGTGATCTATGTCGGTATCGCTAATGGAAGTTACAAAGTAAGGGGTCAGTATTGTTTATATTTACCCCGTGCCGTATTGAGTAATTCATTACGAACATTACCTAAAATATAAACCAATCAAAGAGAAAGTGTGCAGCCAAAACAACATCAGCTATTGGTTTTGCACTTGATGCGGGGCAACTTTACTTATTAAGACAAAACATAGCAAGTCTTTCAAATCTTTGTTTCTTTCATAAAAACTCGGTACCTTTGCCTGATTCTCAGGTATCTTCTTGACATCATAGCCCCACTTCCGAGCTATTTTACAAGCACTCTCGCCACCTTCGACCCCAGTGTTCATGGGTAACAGACGATCAAAACCGAAAATTTCTGTCATAAATTTTTCGTACTCTCCTAACTTGTCGGAATAAAATGCTCTGAAAATATAAGGTCATGATACGTCAAAAATCTTAGCTCAAAATATTGAACGTAGATTTTTATTAACCAATTGATTAAACTTTTAAGCTTTAATGTATTGTCTTTGGTTTACGCAAATTCTACACGTTTAAATAAAACTTTACTGATTTATGAACATACAAAAAATACACATCAAATTGATTGAATTTTTCAGTTAGTTAATAAGCGTTTCCGTTTCGTTAATGTATGTTTTATTATAAGAATCGTATTCGTATCTTTGAAAAGATACTCAAGTTACCACGTGAGAAGATTAAGGGTCTTACCTAGACACCAAAGTAAGTACATCAGCCTGTTCCTTCAAAGCCTGTATAATTCTAGGATGACAGTGACCCTGGTTTACGGCTGAATACGCACTTAAGAAGTCAAAGTATTTCTTCCCTTCCACGTCCCACACAAATGGGCCTTGTAAATAAAATAAAGGCTATGAAAGATTTTATAAACATTTTAATAAAATTTTGAACTAGTTACAATTACACAAGGTGCGTTGCACTTATGTACATCATACATGAGGTACCTAACTACGTCCACTAAAAGTGGTTATTTCAGTGCGCTCGAATGGACTCTCAGCTAATAGTAAAAAAACATGCATACTCATTATCCAGCATGACATTTAGTTTTGCCCCACACCCTACATCCATGCAAATAGTTAGCTATATTATAGATTTTTTTTTATTCTCGAATGTGTCTATATAACCCTTATCTTTGAAAATCTTTAAACTGATTAAAAAATATATCCTGTTCAATCAAAATTCCTGGCTAAAAATAATTGTTTCGATTTGGAAGGCACAAGAGGATGATAAATTCGTATCCTATATCTGTGTTAGTAGAGTAACAATGGGATCTAATAATAGGTGTGTTTCTGTCTAGAAAACAGTCTGTACAGTGCTCTGGAACAAACACCTTGAATACATACTAAATATAGCAACGATCGCCTTTTATCAATGAAAAAGTATGGTAGGCGTTGAATGGGTTCTATCGTCTAAAATAACAAACATAAATGGCTATATACTGTAATTAGGCGAATGCTGACTAAATTGACATATAAAACTTTTGTTTGGTGGCCGAGATCGGAACTCCAAAGGACAATCACGAAACTAGAACGCTTCCAAAGGCTCGCCTTGTTTGCCGCCAGCGGTTGTATGTAACAACGCTAACAGCAGCGATGGAGATAGCCCTAGAAATCTACTACATACAGCAAGAGGTGGCACTAGCGGCCATCAGACTTATGTACTTAGATCTATGGGAAAAAACCACTAAACCATTACACACACAGCTAACAAGTCAGAACAGGGGGATAGCATACCAACATCTCGTAGCCGCGTCATGTGATAGGATCGCTTACCAGCACATTATAAACAGGAAATATCGTGTACAAAAAGGATAGAAGAGGAACATGATCAATCGACTCTGAATGAGCTACTTATAAGTAATAGATTATGGCTCAAAACAGTCTGGCGTGACGGACAGTTGCTTGTGCAAAGGCTGTTTCACCGCATGAAAATGAGTCACCCACGAAGTCCTGGAATTTGTAGCTGTGGCTACCTAACGAGTAGAAATCCTCGGAGGTCGCTCCGTGAATCCTGCGAAGTGCCCAGGAAACTTCTGAGCTTCTGGAAGATGGTCTTAGTGAACTGAGTCTTCAGAGACTAGACTTCTACTACAACTACAATCGGATCGATCGATCGGACGAGCTCAGTGTACCACAACGTAAAACAGCATTTTTGTTTTTGTTCGTAACGTGAAATTACACAAGTTATCTAACCAGGGGTTATCAAATCAAAGTTATTTATGTATTGACGAACAACAAATGATCCTACTCTTTATCATCTGCTTATTTTTAACATGCTATTTTTACACTTTTTTATATACAATTGAATTTAATCACACACACACATTACACATACCACGACAGCACAATCATGCACCTATTTTAATTATCTTAACTCGTTATTTTAAAAACATACTAAAACCATAATTTTTTAACTCAATATTAATACAATTTGGTTTAAAACTGCTAATGTAAGAATAACCGTTAAATAAATATTAATATCATTGATTTTCACATGTATGGAACATTTTTGCATAAAACTTACCTTCTCCTCGTGACAATGCTACAGCAAGAGGCGCATAGTTTCGGCAACCACACTTATCTTCCAAGGCAAATATTTCTTTCGAAGAAAGTTGTCTTTGTGAAGCCATACTGCAAAATTATAACATTTCTTTGAAATATCGAAGTGGGCTTCAATATTATATTAATTATATTATTATTATATTAATTATAATAATATTATTTCATATATAAGATATGCATGTTATTTTTTAAATTTAAATTTACATAATCAGTGACTTTTCGAGCATATTTAAAATAAGGTAGATAAATGTCAAACTATTTTATCGTTGTATTGGCAATTTAACCGGTTAATAGGTACCTACATGTTGTGAATTGCACGCCTCGCAGTGCTCTACTCTCGACATGTCAAAAAACCCAGTCTTTCGAAACTTAAATGACTTTTTTCTCACTAATATAACACTTACAAGATAATATGAGTGCACTAAAATCGAGTTAAATAATCTATCAAGCACATATGGTATTTTTTATGAACAATTATTTTGTTTAACATAGTAAATAATAACATTAAAATCAATCATTCTTGGACGTCCGTCAGTCAGTGTCAATGGATCCACCATGTACATATGTGGCAGAGAAATTGGTCGAAAAATGTATCGTACCAGAATACTTTTTTTCTTATTATATAAAGTTATACCCTGGGCTGATTCCTAGTTAATATTAGCGTACTAAGTACTGTCGTTTCATTATAATTTGTAAAAAACTAAAATACAAATTTTAGTATATTTTTTCCTCACCTTAGAGTTATGGCGCCACTATATATTTTTTTATTATATTAAGTAGTAAGAAGTAAACATAAAAAAAAATGTAAACGAATGATTTTTTTTTAAAATGTGAATGACCGCTATGGGGCGTGCACTTTTGGATTTTCCAAACTACATATATAAGTTTTCCCTCGATTATTTTGTCGTCGGAGGTATTTGGTAACGATAGATAGTTAAGTTTATATATTATTATCATTAAGTTTAAATAGTATTTTTAATTATTATATAATTATTTTAATAACCTTTTGTTATATATTGACCGTAATTTGAAACTTAAATTGGAAGGTGCCAGGTTAATATTTTATTTAACATGACTTTAAAATTCCAATATTTATTGCAGCGCGTCATAACAAAAAACTACGCTAACATTTTGTGATAGTTCGTTTTATAATTCAACAAACTTTTTTAGACGATGGATGTTATTTACTTACCCAATTAATCCTTTAAGATTCTTGCTATCAATGCCATATAGCAGTTCACATACTTTAGATATTGCTCTCCTTGTAGATAACATTTTGTTTTATTGTTAGTTAAATAACTTCCCTCAGATTAGTTATCTTAAATTGTAACCGGTGTGAATGTCACGCAAACTTGATTCACCCAGTATACTTAACAATTAACTGGCTAATAAACAAATATAATGTATCTCTTTAAACTTGATACTATTGATACTTGCTAGTCCACAAACTCTTAAAATTAAATATTAACTAAAATACCGATAAATTTTCTATAAAATAATGTAATATTAAGATCTGACCTGATTGATCTGGGATAATTAGCCAACAGCGTCCTTATTTTGTGGTGCTTTCTCTATCAAAGTATGCGGTATACTGAATTGATTCGTACCTGCTCTTATCTGTTATTATTGTACATATATGGAATAATACAGTGGAAAAAACAAAGTGAGACAAATCGAAGTGTTCTTACATCATCTCTCAATATGTATTACCCATTGATTGGCATACTTACTCAAACAATTTGAATTATGTTGGTACCAAATACATTATATAGATGTAGTTATATATTTTAATTAAATAGAATTGTGTTAATTTCCGTTCGGTACTAAATAATTGTCTACTTTAAAATATTTAAAAAAACATTAATGAACAAAATTAATTTAAAATGTAACGTGTGATAAGTTTATCTTCATTTAGTAAAAGTAAAAGTGGCAGAAATGCAATAATAAATGAGAGAAACCTTAAAAAGTTCGATTAATGAATGTTGTTAATATGTATGTAGAAAGAAGCCGATGTTAATTAAGCTTAGTAGCCGCATTTTTATAGACATTGCCGAAGCGTGATCAGATCAAAATATTTCTCCAATTAATACAAAACGAAACGTCTGTTTTCTGAAACTGGACAACTGACAAGTGCAAATCTGCCTTGCGATTCTGTAACTCACTTTTCGAACTCTCACAGCGGTTTTCGTATCGGCGATAAGGTGGGAGCTTGTAGTTTATTGTTTATCTGAAAGCCAAATCATAAAATGACTGCTTCACGACTGATTTGAGAGCGACCGCCGATGCGAAAACCGCTGTGTGAGTTCGAAAAGTGAGTTACAGAATCGCAAGGCTGCTCTAGATTTGCACTAAAGGATTTTTAGTTATATTTCGAAAAAAATACATATAGAATAGGTATATAATTTTGGTTGGAAATAATAATAAGCTAAGTCAAATATAAATTCAGAACCAAAAAAAACTGTCGGTATTTTCAGATGTACCTAGGTATAAATTAGCCGAAGTATTATAAGTATAATAGTAGAGTCTTCACTAATAGATAACAAATAAAGCACAAACTAATGTAGAGAACAAATTTTTAGAAATCACTCATAACACGATCAACTTATCTTTCAATAAAACTAATGTTTCGTCTTTTAACTAAGCGTATTTATAGTGATCACTGAATACATACTTTTATCTTGATGTCTCGGTACCTACTCTCTTATCGGGAATTATAAGATTTATATTTAAATAAATAAATTATAATGACGATTATTTTATATTACCTTATACATATCCAAATGCAATTGTATTTTTATTTGAGATTAATGAGATAATATGGACCTTTTATTATAAATTTAAAGAACTTTCATACAGCTAATAGATGGAGATATAGCTAACTAATCAACATAATAATATGTTGTTTAGTGTAATAATAATAATAATAATAATAATCTTTATTGACATATTTGTAATTACAGAAATCCTATGAAGACTCTGACACCTAAACTAGGCTTTAGTGCCTGTATCTCAGGAGTCAGTGGCTTCTCCCAATATAATTCGTAACAAGTGTCAAGAGAGCTTATTCAAAATTTTACAAGACAATACTTTTTATAGACATTTGTAAATTCCAGATATTACATCTAATTATCTTCTTACACATAATATACTTAAACAAAAATAACATATATTGAAAAAAATGTTTCAGTATAAATTACAATGAATATAATAGGTAATAAAATAGGTACATACACATAAAATACTAAAATACATAAATATACATAATACATAAATATACATAATTATACATTTTACATATGGGTATATGTAACACTAGTATAAATATATAAATTATACACATAATTAATGAATCAAAATAACTAAAACATTATTGTAGCATGTTAGTTAAATAGATCTTCTGTTTCCTCATAATTTAAGGACAAAAGCCAAGTCTTAACAATTGATTTGCAGTCATGTAGTGAAAGAGGGTAGAAATTTAATTTTTTGTTTATTTTATTATATAGAAAGACTGAGAGATATGCTCGTTGTCGCCTTGCGAAGGTAGTACGGAATTTTGCTGTGGGGAGTACATTTGGTATACAGCGTTTGTTACTGCAAACCTCTGGGTTATAAGGGGTATGGACATGTTGTTTGGCTATTATATTAAAGACGAATAACTGTCTAACACTGAGGAGCTCACACTGTTTATATAAAAGTGTGGTTGAAAATCTGAAGGGTTTGAAAGTCATTACTTTTAGTAAAGATCTGTGGGCTCTTTCAAGCTGAATTAGATGTGACTTGCACGCTCCACCCCACACGCTCACGCAGTATCCAATAACCGATTTTACTAAGGCAAAGTAAACAGTGCGGAGTAGTTCAAATTCCGCGGCATAACGTAATTTTTTGAATGTCCAGATTAGTTTTCGCGTGCGTGCCGTTATAATCTCAATGTGAGGTAGCCAACTCAATTTATTATCTAATTCGATACCGAGGTATTTAATGGTATTGGATTTTGTTATATTAATGCAAGTACAATTTCGCTCAGAGACACATATGTGTATTTTAAGATTAATATCAGTCATATGGGAATTAATAGTTTGGAACTGAATATACGAAGTTTTAGAAATATTTAAAGTAAGTAAATTTTCCCTGAGCCATCTAGCCACCTTCTGCAGTCCGCTTTCGGCAATATTTTGTATCTCGGTCCAGGTGTCCCCATAAAAACTATAGCCGTATCATCGGCATAGGTAAACAACCTGCAACTAGTTAGGGACAAATTACATAGGTCGTTTATGTAAATAAGAAAAAGACTTGGACCAAGAATACTGCCCTGCGGAACTCCAAAAGTTACATTTGCGTCGGAACTAATATAATTATTAATCTTAACCCTTTGCACCCGACCACTAAGGAAATCTTTAAAAATAAGCAGGGCTGAGTCTCTTATTCCAATTCGCTCCAATTTGTCCACAAGTATAGGTATTGAGACGGTATCAAATGCCTTGGCAAGATCGAGGAAGACACCAAGGCACTTTTTTTTCCTGTCAAGTTTTCCTGTGACAAACTCAATCAAGCTACCCACAGCGTCTTCTGTTGACATACCCATTCTGAAACCAAATTGTGAGCTGGACAGAATATTGTACCGATTTAAAAACTGTATTAACCTCACGTTAAGCATCTTTTCTAGGATTTTTGATAGTGCTGTAAGCACAGAAATCGGTCTGTAGTTTGCAACACAATCCCGTGCCCCACCCTTGTGAACAGGAGTAATGAGAGACCTTTTAAAGACTTTTGGAAAGCAGCCTTCCCTAAAACATGTTTGAAACAAGATAGTAAGCGGCGATACAATGACATGTCTTACCATTTTTAGAAATCGAGCTGGTATAGAGTCCCAACCAGTGGCACAATCATTTTTTGAGCTTAAGATGAGAGATTCCACCTCAGCCTCATCTGGTGGCATTAGTACGAAGGAGTTAGTCAAGCAATTAGATCTTGTACATTTGTAGTTATACTTACACCCTGTAAGTTTTTCAGCTAGCTCTCTACCAACATTAGAAAAATAACTATTTATGTCCTCAACCGCATCCAATGCGTTACAATTCCTAATTAACTCATCGGCAGAAGATTTTTTACTTGAACTATCGGTCACATATTTTATTGCAGCCCAGGTTTCTTTATTTGATTTTGCACTTTTTAATAAGAATTTATCGTGTTCGCGCTTCAATTTTCTAAGTAATGAGCAACAAAAATTCCTGTACCTTTTATAGGTTATTTTAAGAATTTCATTTTGGGGGTCCCTTTTTAAATTAAGATGCAGTTTATCCCGGTGACGGATACAGCGAAGTAGGCCCGGAGTCATCCAGGGCTTAAGAGATTTTTTGCGCCTGGGTACACGGACTTTTTCAGTGTTAGCTTTAATAGCAGATGACAGAATTTCAACAAATCGAGTCGCAGCAGACTCGGCGTCTTGCTTGTTAGTCATAAAAGTAAAATCAGCCAATTCAACATATTTTATAGCTTCACTAAAATTTACTCTTTCAACAATGGAAGGGCACTGAGTATTAGTCCGTTTACTGTTAAGGGATAGATTTATTAGAATAGAGTCGTGATCAGTTACGGTGGAATTTATAACTATAACACTAGTTTGTAAAACAGTTTTAACCATTACATGATCGAGACAATTGCTTAATCGTGTTGGATATGTGTGGCCTGGCAGAAAACCCAATTCGCTGGTTAAATTTAAGTAAGAGTTACTGTTTCTGTCACCGTTTCCAGGTTTTATATCGATATTTATATCACCTATTAAAAATATATTCTTAGATGATATAGATTTAACAATATCATTCAAAGCATTCAAAAAGCGCTCAGTGTAGTAAAAGGATGGTGATCTATAAATAGCTAAAAGTACAATATCTGGTACTATTTTTAGCTAGCAGAAAGTTAGCATCTTTAGGATTAGGTTCTTCAATTTCGCAATTTATATTTTGTTTAGCATAAATTATAATACCGTCATTTTGATTTAAGCATTTTTTTTGTGAAATAAGAATTATAATCCTTAAGACTGGGTATGGGTTTATTATCGTTTAACCAGCATTCAGTTAAAATTATTATATCTGGCTCAAAGTACAGACGAGCTATATGGGCCAAGAATGCATCAATATTTTTGTAAACGCTACGGATATTTTGTGTTATAATTTTTAGGGAGTTTCCTGATTTTTTTACTAAATCATTACAATTTTTTATATCACAACTGTAGGCAGTTGCCACTGTTATATTATCAATATCATTATTTATATTATCAATAAATCTAGCCATTTGTAAAATATTAAGCTTTTGTCGCAGCTACTCGTGTCTGAGAAATGCTGACATTTTTACAAAGATAAGATCTCGATTTCAACATGATCACTAGACTAAGAATGTATAATTTTTTAGTTATGTAAAATACAATACAATGAACAGAGTATAAGTATGTATATAAAGAAAAACAATAATATAATATATAAAAAAATAAAATAATATCTATAAAAACAATAATTAAGTGCCGGATTTTCACAAACAGGAAAGTTATCGTAGGCCGGCGGAGTTTCCTGGGGGCCTCAAAAAGTCATTGTTTTAGACGAAGTTTATTTAAATCACCCTCACTATCAATTCTAATATGCCGTTTACCTTCATCTTGTCTCAGGTAGGTTCTTCCAAATGAGGTCCAGCAGAATTTATATCCATTTTCCTGAGCAAATGCACGAGCCAGATAATTTAATCGTTTTCCGCAGGGTGATAGACATTCTGAAATAAAAAATGGCTTTGCTGGTCCTTCCAAACTTAAGTGTGCCGTGTTCAATTTGTTAGCAGAATTCATTTTGTTAAATTTGCGTGCCTTTTCAATAATACCATCTTTCAATATAACGCTGCCCAATTCCACAATAATTGCTCCATGTCCAGTTTTACTTTTTGTACGATAAATATCCTTAATATCCTGTTTCTGTATGGGAAAATCAATAACATCTGCAGCTTTTGAAGCAATGTTACATAAACTATCCTTATTTTCACCGGTAATCTTAGGAATATTTCTTAGTTCAAGTTTAGTTGAGGCAGACGTTCGTTCCAGCGACTCGATTTTCTTTTCAAGCTGATCAATATACAGACGATCTTCATTCCTCTGTTTTTCCAATTTCTCGTATTTAGCTTTCATATCTTCGTACTGCTTAGAGACAAAAGCAATGGAGTCTTTTATTTCTGTATTTTGTGTCAAGATTTCTCTCATGGAGGATTGCAAGGAGGTGAATTTACTTTCATTTTGAGAGTTTGCTTTAGCAAGCATATCCTTAATTTCGGTTATGAATTTTTTAATATAGGACTCATCCTGCTTGCGCCTCATAGTTACATTGCTTCGCTCCTCATTAGATAAATCTGGCGCGGAGCCCGAAAAAGAAGCTTTCGGCGCGTTCAACCTAGCTTCCTTTAAGTCTTCGGGAGTGGGGGTGCTGGGAGGTGTGCGCTTAAGAGGCATATTTCTGACAAAAGATGACACCAGAGTACACGAAAAAATAAACTTGGACCAGCCCCCTATAAATTTCCGCTACCCGCTATCGCTTATGAATTAACGCAACTTACAAAGCTTGCGTATCAATGATGCGCGCAGACGGAGCGTACAACTTAAGCTGTCTCACAAGTGTTGTCCCGTTCGCACAGATGCACTTACTGCAACGCAACTCATGCGCTCCTGGTACACACCTTAATTTATTCGCACGGAATTTATTTTTAATTTGATTTTTAAGTTATAAAACAAATAGAATGCACACGTCTAAACGCTTCCGCGGTCCAGGAGGGAGAGCGATTGTAACGTTTAGTTTCACATAAAAAACGGCATGTTATTTTGAGGAAAAAAATATTGTCTCCTTTTTTTATAACAAGCGCCTTACGTTGGATGATTTATATATAATCTGACAGATTAATTCACTAAGGCGCAACTTTTTTATACAGCAAAGCATACATTTTACAGGCATAATAAGTTGTTTTCATTATATTTAACCGTGCATTGTGGTTATTCTTTACATCATAAACTTATAAGCAAATATTCCGGAAATCATCCCAAAATAAATACCTCGTAATTTTTGCTTACAGTATGTCTATTATAAAGCAAAATTCTTGTACGCAATAAATATACTTTTAGAATATAGAAAATAAAGTCCTGCTTCAATATCCGTTTATCTTTACATTAAAATTACTTCATCAGTATATGTAACGGACGTGACGTCGCCAGTCACATCCTGCCAAGCCATGTTGACCACCCCTCCAACCAACCGCCATGCCTGCCAACCGCAAATGCCAGCCACTTGGAGGGGATGAATCTATTTTTATTTAAGCCAAAGCCAGCCATAATTTAACAATTACGCTACTCTTGGAAGACACAGCAAATAAAAAACAAGTGTGTTGTCACTCTTGCCATTTTATTTTCACTGTCAATTATAATACAATACAATAAACAATTATCATGATGTATATTACCATAATATCAATAATAAAGTTTTACAACTTGTTATGGTAGGGGAGCCCAAGAGGGGATTTCGGGATTTACTAAAGCGCGGCAGATAAATATATAGGGGATACCTTGGACCTTAGTCAAGATGCCTTAACAGTAGTGTATGTAGAAAGTCGAAAACTTAATTTGTATGAAAATGACAGTTCGTGTCGAAAAGTTTTCATACAAATTTAGTTTTTGACGTTCTACATACACTACTGTTAAGGCATCTTGACTAAGGCCCCTTGTACCCGGTTAAGTACCTCCACAAAATATGAGGCCCATATATAAGGCCGCCCGTGAAGGAGACAGGATCAGATTAGTAAAAAAAATTGACCATCAGAAATTCCCGAGCGCGTCAGATTAAGGTAGGGTGAGTTAATTACATCCTAAAAAGTGTATATTCCAATCTGACAATTTGAAAGTGACGTAAAAAAGGGGAGGGCAACAAAGTTGTAAAAAAAACGTCATCTCGACATTCTCGAGCGTAGCTAATTTTTTTTTTATTTTGAAGGAAATAATTCAAGAATAATGAAAAATATATAATCTGACGATTTCCGCAAGCCGAAATAACAAAAATTCGTCGATAAAGTTAAATGCGTGCAGCTGCGTGATGCCTACATTTCCTTAAACCGATCGGAATCTACTAAACGGCGTTCTAAATATTTCCCTCAAAATTACATTTCCTGTGAATTTGAACCGATTCGGACCGATAGATTTTGAGAAATTTTGAAAAATCTTAAAAAAATAAGAAATTTTTTTTTTTAAAGTGGTTTCTTTATCGATCAACTTCAAAAACTAATCCGCCTTTGAGCTTGAAAAACCACGTCGATCGCCACCAAGCTGGTCAAAAGCGGTTGATTCGTTCCCGAAAAAGTGTTTTTTCGGGATTACTCCGAAATTTGTGGTTCGATCAATTAAAATTGATAAAACTGCGTCGAATGCCGCCAACCGCGTGAAAATTGCTTGATCCATTCAAAAGTTATTGCGGTTTGAAAATTCCAAAAATAGTGTTCTATGAAACTTCTATCAGACTTTCGAGCTGGGAGAGCTCAAATGCATAGAAATATTATTTCTTTGAACTCAGCGAGCTCAAAATATCAATTTTAAGCGCCCAGGAATGGAATTAGCGGGAAGTTGCAGGGATGGCCCTTTAGGTGAACCGTTTTTCTAAAAAATTTTGTCAGATCCCTAGAGGGATTCGCCTGATCTGACAAAAAAAATTACTTAGAACATAAAGATGAACCACATATATCTTAATCTGACGCGCTTGAGTATTTCAAAATTGCGATTTTTTTTTTGCAAATTATGAAAATGGCCGTGGGTTTGCGTCCCATCGAAATCGTCAGATTAGTGAATGAGAGCTTTTTTTGGTGCACTTAACACTCCCTTAGAAAATCTGACGCGCTCGATAATTTTTATTTTTTTTCATTTTCAACCCTTAAATACAACCACCCGCATCATGCAAACGATCAGATTAACATACGTACATTATTAAAAATACGTAGGGCATTGATGCTATCAATATCTGACGCGCTCGAGGATGTCCATGCAAGTTTTTTTTTACATATTTAATAATCTATAGCCGCTTCCCCCACCAATGAAAAGGTATATATCATATAACATTTTTTTCTTCTTATTATCTAAGCTTTGCATCCCAATAGGTCTCTACGACGCTCGAGTAAATCCCCATTTAGCATCGTGGGCTCCCCTACCATTATACCCATCATACATATTTTTCTTTGACAAGAGGACAAATATTCAAAATTCAAAATATTTTTAAACTTAAATAATTACTCATACAATAATTTGTTGCATATTGCAACAAATATTGGGTTACAATTAAAAGACTAAAGTTAAAATAAATAAACTTTATTGTGTATGTAATTAATTATCACACATATTTATTAACACTAACTACTAATATTTATTTCTATGATCATCTTCAATATCTCCTACATGGAAATCCTTGTATTTAGGAAAAGATTGAGGACCTCTTTCTAAAGTTGTTGGCATAGAACCACCATCTGCAAGTCTTTTAGCTTCTAGCTTATCAGCATTTAATTTCTTAGTTTCAGCTATAGCTAAGTTTTTTGATATTTCGTCATTTGTAGGTGGCTCCATTCTACAATGAAAAAAAATATTTTAACATTATTTTTTATATTTGGGTGGTGTTGGATCTATATACCATTTAATTAGAAACAATGATAGTTTACACTAACAATTATTAATGTAAGAACAGACAGTGTCATATACCCAAAACATAATAAATACCTCTTATATAACTTTACCTTCTCATTCGAAGCCAAGACTCCCACTCAGAAGGCAATGGATCTTGAAAGTCCAGGCCTTTAGGTGGGTCATACCAACGTGCTGGTTTTCTTTTGCCTCTACTTGGATCAGCTGGTATTTCATAATATACATTTCCAATATAATCTTTTCCTATAAGATTTAGTATTTATTATAGATTTAATAAGTTAATATTTAAAGATTTTAATGTTTTATAAGGTATATTAACTATGAGGTATTATGTACTTACCTATTTCATTACCACGAATTTGCCGAGGCCGAAAAGAATTTAAAAAATTCCGAAACGCAATGCGCCAAACGTATCTGTATTCACCCCCCGACATTTGCTAAGTATCTTTATTTTGCGAAGCATAAAAAGAAAAGGTGAATCTAGTCGCATAGATCTTTAGAATTAACCCGATTTCACAATAAACATTGCAATTGAAAATACTCAAATCTCTAAATTATTACCATAAATTAAATTGACAGTTGACGGTTGACGTCGAACTTCGATGAGTTCTTTTTTTAGATTTTTTTTTTTTTCCTTTATGGCTCTGGCACGGTCTGTGCATTAGCCAGCGTCAAGTAGGTATAGGATTTTTATAAGTCGCTGTTTTAATTATGTATTTACAGTTTATGACCCTTCTAGAGCAAATTGATTGGAAGCCGACAGTAGAAATGAAGTGTCCTATTGGCATATACAACTTCATACAAAATAACATAACTCAAGCATATAAAAAATCAGAATATACAGTTAAACTTAAATCTAACACTCATCGAAACAGTAACCATTGGATTAATAATAGAATTATTAAAGCATGTCATTACAGAGATAAACTTTTTACACAATATATAAAAGATCCAAACAACTTAATACTTAAACAAAAATATAATAAAACCAGAAATTATGTCAATAAATTAATAAATAAAACTAAAAATAAAACACTTAGAACCAATATAGAAGCTAATAAAAACAATCTAAAAAATCTATGGGATATATTAAACCGATTAACAGGAAAAATTAAAACATCCATTGACGTAGCTATACAAAACTCATTTGAAAATCAAAATGTTACGTGTAAAGATATTGCAAATAATTTTGCAACTACCTTCCACAATAGTATCAGTAATGTTGCAACCAACTGTGTAAATCCACTGTTGGATACAAGTTTATACCGGCGAGCAGAAAATATTAGTATGAGATTTCAGTCAGCAGACCCTAAATCTGTTGCAAAGATAATAAAATCATTAAACGACAAAAAATCTCCAGGCGCAGATAGAATACGAACTATAGACATTAAAATGTTATGTAATAAAATAAACGTAGCCATAGCTAATCTTATTAACACGAGCATTTACACTGGACAATATCCTAATTTATTAAAAACAGGTATAGTACGACCAATATACAAAAATAGTAGCAAAAAAAACTACAATAATTATCGTCCAATAACTATACTGCCAACAATCAACAAAATAATTGAAAAATACATATGTGGACAAATTCAAAGTTATTATAAAAAACACAATATTCTTTCTAACACACAATACGGATTTCAACCAAATAAAAACACCACACAATTACTATCCGCATTCACAGATCATATTTATAAGCACTTAAATAAAAAGGATCATGTCCTGGTAGTGTTTATTGATTATAGCAAGGCATTCGACACATTAAGGCACAGCGTAATCCTACAAAACCTAAATGACTGCGGAGTACGAGGAAACCTGCTCAAGTGGTGTGAAAACTATCTGCAAGATAGAACTTATCGTGTTAAAGTGTGCAACGAAGAAAGTTTCCCAATATCCATAACAGAAGGTACGGCTCAGGGCTCAGTTATTGGACCCTTGCATTACCTTACCTACGTTAACACATTACCTAACATAATAAAATATTGCCAGATATTCCAATTTGCAGACGATACATGCCTAGTAGCCGCTGGGGCTAACATACAAGAAGCAGAAACAAAGCTACAATCTGATTTCGATACATTGGCTAAATGGTCCCACGACGTGGGACTTGTACTAAATCCGAATAAAACAAAGTTCATGCATATCCGATCCAGTCACAATCTAAGCGCACGTACACCCCACTTAATCTTACACAACCACATTTGTGCACATTCCTATAACTCGTACCCCATCAACTGTAACTGCAACGCCTTAGAATTAGTTCATAACCACAAATACCTGGGGCTTACAATAGATGACCGAATGTCTTGGAAAATGCACATTAATTCTGTCTGTGAAAGGCTAAGAGCGATACTTGCCAAATTCACTATAATAAAAAATAAAATACCTCTCAATACTCTGCTACTGCTATACAAAGCACTAGCAGAATCTATTATAACATATGGACTTTCAAGCTATGGGAGAACATGCAAAACCTATCTTAATCAAATATTTTCATTACAAATACGTATTTTAAAAGCAATTGCTCCTTACAAAATAAAATCACAATATAAAGAAGACTATAGAAAGCTATTTGCATTTTTCAAAATTATACCTATACAAGAGAAAGTGCAGCTAGCATTATTAAATGAAAACTACTTTACAGACAATTACCTTAAAACAACTAAAACTCATTATCACTATACAACACGTAGAAAATTAAAAAACGAATTTCTTTTACCAAAATACAATAATTTATATGGGAAAAAACATTAGACTATATTATTCCAAATCTATTAAACTCTTTACCGGCTGCGCTATTTGCTAATGTAACAGGAAACAATATCAAATTTAAATTAAAAAATTACTTTATAAGTCAAACAATTACAAATTATGCATAACTAAAAGTAGGACGTCGTCATTTAGTTCATGTTCGAATATGTAAATTCGATTACACATCCTGTATTCGAATGAGAATTTCTCGTCAAGAACAGGTTTCTTGCATCGGCTGTGGAGCGTCATTGTTTCAATTGGTATATGTTGTTCGTGCAATTTTTATGGTTTATTGGTGGGGGTGTTATATTGTATAGTGTGTCACTGGCCTGAGTGTGTAATAGGTTAATTATTTAAATATTTTCGACGACCTGGTGGACGGAAAAACTGTGTCCAGTTTGTGTTTCCACCACGCCAACTTTTTCTATTTAGGATGATGTATAGAATAAATAAATAAATAAATAAATAAAATAAATAAATGAATAATAAAAAACGAAGGAAACTAATCGCGACATAACATAGATGATTGAAAACGCATTAAATTTACAACAAAATCAGAATAGTTACATAAGGGGAAAAATAAATCAAAATTATAGTTTAATGTTATTATTTACAATAAATATACTTATAATACTATATACAAGGGGATTTAAATCTCGAAGAAGTAAAGAAATATTGGTAGGAAGGGGAACAGAGAGAGATACTAAAGAAGTGTATAAGGAAGCATGGTCATATTTAGGACAAGAAAAGAAAACATGATTCAGGTCAGAATAGCTCTCACCACACTCACAGGCGGTACTAGTTACGATACCAAGTTTGTGCAAATGAACTGGAAGGCTGTTATGTCCCAGACGCATACGGATTATAGTAGAAGTGGTGGTTTTACCAAGCGACAATTTGGCAAACCATGGCTTCCTGGGAACGGAAGACTGTATAGCATACAAGAAACGACCCTTAATCCGGCATTTCTCTTCCCAACACATATTCCACGATTTGTGGAGATATATGCCGGGCAAAGCAGCAAGATCATGTCCAAAATTCCTGTACGGGTGTACGTCACCGGTCTCAGTAGCACTGTTAGCCTAACTGTCAGCTTTTACATTTCCAGAGATACCACAGTGACTAGGTATCCAACAGAATGAAACTAAATAGTTGTGTAATTGGCAGTGCAACAGCTTTCTCTTACATTCAAATATTACATGAAAAAATGGGTTAAGTTTTAGTGAAAATTTTGCTAAGCTCTGTAAAGCACTTAAGGAATCGGTAAATATAACGGTTTTTTTGAGTTTGAAACATAACACATATTCAAGAGCTTTTAGTAGTCCAAAACATTCACCGGTAAAGACCGATGATTCCGGAGGTAATTTAATTTTCTGAACTATGTTGTATTGTTTGTGAAACACTCTAACACCAACACACCCATTGGAGTGTTTAGATGAATCTGTATACATTTGATGCCAGTTAGGCCATTTGCTATTGACATTGCAATTAAAAATTGCATTGGCATTAAAATCAGATTTTTCAATGCCAAGAGAAAAGCAAATCTCTGGAGAAAGAAGAAGAGAATCATAAGAAGAGCTAAATAGGGGAAGTACATTAAAGGAATGAATTGGGGCTTGTAATTGTTTGAATTTCAGGAAGCTTTTAATAGACAAGGTAAAGGTTTATTTGAAGAGGGTAATTTTAGAAAAAGAGACTCCAGTTTGGAGATGAGGGGATGATGGAACTGGACAATTCTAAAAATGAATCTATCTGAAAGATATTGACGTCTTAAGTTTAATGGAGGGTCACAACATTCTATTTGCAGAGCATTAACCGGGCTTGATTTCATGGCACCAGAAACAATCCTCAAAGCCCTAGACTGTATGAGGTCTAGTTTTCTAAAGCCAGCTACATTACCTGGATCTAAGAAAAAGGTCCCAAAATCCAGTACACTTCTAATTACAGCATTATACACCAACCTCAGTGTGGCCGGGTGAGCACCCCACCAAACTCCACTGAGACATCTCAGCATGTTCAAGTGTCGCTCACATTTACTAACTACAAATTCGCAGTGTGGTTGACCTGTTAGTTTAGAATCAAGTATAACTCCTAAGAACTTTACTTGATTATAAACGGGTAATATATGACGATCATATGTTATAGTAGGTGAGGGAGGAGTTCGGGATTTAGTGAAAAGTACAACGGAACTTTTTGAGGGAGACAGATCTAGGCCATTTGCATCCATCCAGGATTTTAGCAAAGATAAAGAGGAGGAGACATGTTGTTCAGCAATACTTACCCACATATCAGAGGCATAAATAACTAAGTCATCGGCATATTGTAATAAACTAACTGAATCTCCGATTGAATCTTCTAGGTCATATGTATAAATATTGTACAATAAAGGGCTCAGAACAGACCCTTGTGGCAAGCCCCTCCATACCAGCCTACTAGGCATATAAGGGCCGCCAACATCTAAAATAATTTTCCTCTCCGAAAGAAGATTTACAATGAAATCAGTTAAAAAATAAGGAACCTTTAATTTATTTAATTTACTTTTTAGAATATGTAACAAAACGTTATCATAAGCCGAATTAATATCCAAGAAAGCAGCGACTACTGACTTTTTATCTGTGAAAGCATTACGAATGTCCGTAACTAATATGCCTAAATTGTCACATACACTTTTACCTTT